GAAATTGTAATTTTTTGTAGGTATGCTTAGAAATACGTCTACTGTCAGATGATGGTAAAATTTTTATAGATTATAATTCAAAATGTTTTTGAAAAATTATAAAAGTTGTTTAAAAATACAAATTTAGAAATACAAATTTATAAAAATACAAATTTAGAATCATAAAAACTGGTTGAATTTTATTTGGAATGAACCTAAGTTTCGAAATGGGAAAGGAAGAATCAAATAAAAAAAGAAAGATATTTATTAATCTCTCTTTTTTTTATTTAACTTATTGGATTCTTCCTTTCCCATTTTTATATGCCAAACTCTGTTTACATTGAGGAGCTGAAATTTTGCGAGCTAATTTTTTAAAAACTACTCGTGCGATTTTTACAAAACTTGGCAGTTTCGCCTAATTTGAGTCGTAGAATTAAAATATGGAAAGAAATGGGAATGTTATTTGAGAAAAAGTCCGATTTTATGTCAAAATATCTATATTATAACAATGCTATATATAAGTTTAATACATATCCTAAGTCGCGCTTTCGAGACATTAAAAACGTAAGTTGAATTTCTTGTTGAAGTTCCAACTGAAAGTTGAATTGTTCCGGCCCAGTAGAACGGGAGATATATAACTGTCTCATTTTTAGTCCAAAGGGGCTTCGTCCCTGAAGGAATATTGTTTTCGTTTTGCGATTTTGCGTTGAATCACTATAAATGTCCGTTTCACTTTTGAAACTGTTGCCACCAAATGTTAGAGTCATGCATTATATTTGAATAAATTAAATAATGAAAAATCTACATAAATGTATGTATATTTCTCGCATTGTGATAAATGTGATTCATAGAGCCATCGAATTTTGAATGACGTAATCCTACTGCAAATATGGGCATGTGGAAGCCCAAATTTGAAATTTGGAATTTGTTTTATTATCGATTTCATATTTTGTAAAACTTTAACGAATTTTTGAGTAACAAACTCAACGATTTGAAAGCGAGCAATGGCAACGGAGAAAATAATATCTCCAGCGCGGGGAACCGTGTATCGGAAATTCTAAAGATATGCTCATTTTAAAATTATTTTGTGACACTGCTATTGAACTGAAATTTATGCTTTAAGTACGAAGAACATGATATTTAATAAATAAAGGTAACACACAAAACGTTAAAAAAACGCCTCTTTGGACGTAATTTAAAATCTGAAACCTTTCAGACTTTTTTTTTTCCGCGGTGTACATTTATTTACAGTTACATTTCTTAACATCCCAAAATTCTTAATTTTACGAAATGCTTTTACATAATTTTGAATATTCTATGTTCGTTTTAAAATAAAAAATATTCATGTACACATAAAGATCCAGTTTTTTTTCCTTCTCCTCCATTGAAAGACGTCTAATTAAAACAGTCGAACGATAAATTAAATAAGCAAGCTTCTCTTAAAATCTTACAAATACACGCTTTGATTGAATACATTTTGGTTAGAAGTCTCAATCAATAAGGTAACTCGAATAACTGAATATCTCTCTGTTGTTCTCTCCCTATCTCGAAACATTATTATGCCTAGTAATTCCACGTCGTTTAATAATAGCAATTACTGAGATTCTTTTCACCATTTTCGACGTAATCATATTTCTAATCTTTAAGTATTTGAGTAAAGAGGGAATTTAAATGAATTTTCTTGTAATCTTTTCATTTTGTGAAAGAAAAAGCAATTTTGTTTTAACTTAAAGAACGATATATATAGTTTTAATTTAAAATTGAGTTATAAGGAATGGAGTTTTATAGTTGTTTATTTCGTTATGTAATTTAATGTTCTTTATTTCATAAATTTAATAACGTAATATCTAACGCAATATACGTTTTGCAGGTATCCTCTAATGCCTTCCAAATGCGCTTAAGTACGTTCATTTCTAAATGTATCAATTTTTTCATCACGTGGCATATAGAGAGCTTCTCGAAATATGCATCATAACTTTAAGTATCCTTAATAACACTTAATATGAATTTTATCACAATTACTGACATAAATAAAAATTATCATTCATTTATATAAGAGAATCACTTTTCGATAAAAAGATATAATAAGTGCTTACCAAGATAAGAAAAGGCATCTATATTTTGCACTATTAAAAAAAATAGCTATGACGCAAAAGAGGTATTCATTTTTATTTAAAAAAAGGAAAGAAATTTGAATCACGCTTGAACAGAACTTTCCTTTTTTAAAGGAAGTTGTTTTTTAAGAAACAAAAAATATTTAATTCAAGTGAATGCTGTTTTAAAGTAACGTAAGTATTCTGTTTGTTTTTATTGATACACAATATTTTCGTTTTTTTTTAAATCAAAAGCAGTCTTTTTATTTTTTCGTGCATTAACAATAAGAAGATTTGGCTTCACAATTTAATAATGTGACGTCTAAATAAAAAATAAATAAAAATTTGCAGTTTGATTTTTCACAACTCCTGAAAACACATGTAAAACTATAATTTCCAATTTAAAATATTCAAACAAAAGCAGAAATTGATTTTCTTAATACTGATTAGTATTTACTAGTACATAAATAATACTTATAAATTAAAATTAGGACTAACAATTATACTCAAAACTTCAAATGCAAACCGCTAACATGAACTTTCATGCATCCATTACCCCACATAACAGAATCAATCCTTACGCTTTAGTTATATAAAATATGTAGGTAGGTAGGTATGGCGCGGTCCATTCTCCTGGCAAGCCCAAGTTATAAAGTATGAATAATAGTTTCTCATTCATGCGGAGCTCCACTTACTTGCAGTGGCCGAGTGGATAAGAACGCTGAATACTGGGATTTCGAACCCAGCCAACAGACTGGTTGCATGGATATTTCTCATGGTATTTCCTCCTTTATGATGTGAATAAGAGCGAGTTCTCTTAGAAAATTTGTAATCCTTAGAGTTGGCCTTCGTGTTTCCTGGTCCTATAAATGCATAATTGCTCTATTAAGTTTTCAACGGAAATATCTGTCGCCTATGGCTGATAGCCCTCGTATGCTTTGTCGTATTGAAATAACCTACCATACTATAACTTCATTTTCATACTGTTATTTGTATCATCTTGAGAATTTCTCGCATTTGTATTTGCGTATTTTCCTAATATTCTTTATGCATGTTTTGGTAGCAATTTTGTCTGTTTCAGTTTGTGTTTTAATTTCGTTTTTCCACCATTCTTCGCATGTGTTTTAGTAGCAATTTTAAATCTTCATTATGTATCAATCTAGAAGTCAAAGACAAAAAATCAGGGTTATATTTTCAAATTTTCACACGACTAGTTTCAATGATTTTACCGAACCATCATTTTCAGCTGCAAAAACGCAAATGAACGAGATAAGATAAGATAACATAGACATTAGTCAAGCTACTGGTGCCATCAGTTGATGAAACCAGAACTAAAGCATAATTTGTTTAAAGTCTAAAGTCAAAGATGGATTGGAGTTAGAGTCGTTAACTAGAACAGAAGGATTTTTTTTAATGTGAAATGTCTCTAAAAAATCCAGTTCACCAATGGAAGATATTTTTATGAATAATTTTGGCAGCAGAAAAATTGAAAGTGTGATTTTCGGACCAACCATGCTGGGCAACAGAAGACTTCTGTGTTTCCTTTTTTCTAACATATGCCTCATGTTCTTTAACGCGAAATTTTAAGGCTCTATTAGGCACTAAGATTCGCCTTAAAATGTTTCTTATATGAAAATTCCACAAAATTGAGCAATATAATGCCTTTGCCACAAACTTGATCTAAAAAAACTTGAGCGCAAACTTTGCCACAAACTTGATCTAAAAAAACTTGAGCGCAAACTTTGCCACAAACTTGATCAATATAATAGATAGAACTCATTCAATGAAGCCACTATAGAGAAATAGTGGTGTGTGTGTATTTTTGCTGCAGGTATAACAATGATATCCCGGCTGAGTTCACATTACTCTTTTTATTAAGGTTAGACAAATATGTATATATTTCAACACATATTCACTAATAACTAAATAACATAAGATGTAAGTCACTCGATCCACGTTAGCAGTAAGCATAAAAAGTTGTGGGACAGGTACGCAGGCATCACGATACAGAAGAGAGGTGAGTTCGTGCTTTACCGACGGCAGCCAGGAACAGAAACCGGCCCAAATTTCCCCTACTGAACAAGAGGGAGAAACCTTGTAGCCCCCTCTTTTGGGTAAGCGGACAAATAAAGAGTTCTGCACACCACCTTCAGCTTAAATCACAGTCTCCAGAACGCCTCAGAAGCAAAAATAGATACATATCTTACAACCTCAGGAGAGAAATCGTGAAATACCTTCCAGAATTTCTACTGCGGTTCACCTTTATTGTTACAGATTGACTTATTGGTGACCCTTTTAACCACTCCTCACACATAATAGTGAAGAAGATTACAGTTAATGTGAATCTGGAGGCTATATATCAGAAATATGGTAAAAGGCACATTTGAGATTTTTGTCATGTGTTGGCTGCAAAGTCTTGCTGAGAGTCATATGGTCTTCTTGGGATAATTTGTTCAATCCAGGATTTGGATGTAAAAGCCAGACTACTTTGGTACACATTCTGGTTCACTCGAAAATTTTCTCAAAGATTTTCACAGCATTCTTTAGAACTTCTCCGACCTCCATATAAAACTCTGAATTTACCATAACGTAAAAAATGCTCACCTGTAGAGTCATTAAGTATTCCGATGCAAGAACGTGAAAGATGCGCAGTACCCTCACCAGAATTCGAACTCCGGATCTCCCGAATGCGCATCAAGAATGTTTCCATTTACACCACGAAGGTATACCGGAAGGAGGTATAAAATATCTTATAGGCTTACCGATAATTGAGAATCTGGAACAAAAGTCGCAGATCAAGAAAGGTCATACATTAGCTTTAATTTTCCTCGTTTCAACTTGCGTCAATTCTACTTGAGCAGCATGTGGCTTTTTATTTTAACATTATATAGAAAGCTTTTAAAATATTATCCTCATTTATTTTTTTAGATAAAAACATTCTGGCGTCAATTAGCTTGGCCTGATTCAGCTGGTTCATTCGCCTTTGTTCTGAAAGTTATAGAAGTAAGAACATTCTTTATGGAATACTTTTTTTCCTATAAGATTATATATAAATAGAAAGCTAATTAAATTAAATTGCTTAAAAGCTTTCTTACTTTATGACTTGAGATTGTAAATGAATGAATTTATTTGCAAGAAAGGAAACTTATGAGTAAAAATATATCATATACTTTATAAAATTTATTGCTCAGACTAATTTTTATTTCCTTTTCAGATAATATGTGAAGGAACTGTCTATTATGCTAAATTATGTCAACAGAAATTGCAGAAAATAATAGATAGCGAAAAGCAGACAGACGTTACAGAACAGGTATGATAACTGCATAATTTCGAATGATCTGTTTGGAGTGATATGTTGCATTACTTACATATAAAGTCAGAAGTTCATAAGTATGATATTTTTTATCACTTAAACGTGTCGAGATTTTAACAAACCTTTCAATGTAAAATATTACTGGTTTTTCAAATCACCTATTTGTTGAAATCTCAATTAATATATTAGCTATGGTATTTGTTTATTAGGTATATGTTTTTTTATATTATGTTTATATGTTATTTTATTTTGGATCTCTTGCGTTACAGGATTATATCAAGGTAAAATATTTAGTGTTTCTAAATAAAAGAAATATATTTATTAGGAAAATTTATTTCAGTACATAAAAAACGAAATAAAGGCACACAGTATAAAAATGTGTATGGATAATGTTTATTCCGAAAACAAAAACACTGATATGAGATTAACACAATTTAAATGAGGTAAAAAGGCTAGGATGTCCATTAGCAACTAATGGGTGTTTTTATGTTTTTAATGACAGTTTGCATATGAGTTTTCGTAAATAAGAATCAAATACTTTTTCTCGTAGGAAGGCAGGCATATATTCTTCTACTAAAAACTATTTCTCGCATGTTGTCCTCTAACCGAAAAAAAAACCCCTTCGTTTTCATTTTTTGCAATAATAATATTGAGTTTAATTGCAATTGTATACATATATTTTATTTATTAGTAAAATTTTGTTTTCCAAAATACTTTTCCTATTTATTTTGCATTGCTAATATATATTAGCATTTGTATGCAATTTTTTTATTTTGTTTTATTAATGATATATACTCATTAATAAAACTAAACAATACTTATTAATAAAACTAAACAAAATAATTGCATCCAAGAATTCAACTTGCCAGATGCATTGATATGTAATGAACATAGAAAGGAGACAGTAAGTCTGTTGATCGCAAAGGCCAGTGATCTGTGAAACATCTACAAGAACGAAAGAAATCAGTGCATTGTATTACCACTAAAGGCTTATGCAGAAGCCCTTACCCTATGTGGAATACGCACATGCATTTCACGGACTGGGGTCTTGAAATATTAGATTGTCAGATATTTTTTTTTTATGGCGAGCACTAGCCATTAGGGTTTTGGACATTACCAAGGCTAGAAGCAGGGGTTATTTTTTTATGGAGGTACATAGGCGGCCACCGTTACCTCCTACGAAGGCAGTTTATATCCATGCCATCTCCGGGATTCTAACCCAAGCCGTTCGCTATGGCAGTCAGAATCACTAACCACTTTCTCGACTGGGCGGCAACTCTCAGATATGGTCGAAATAATTCGAAATTTCGTCGAAATTCCAGAACAAGCATCGGCAACTTCATCAGACATGATCAGTGATTGTGTTAGTCTAGATATATACTGACAATAGAATGATATACCTGGAAAGGTTTTGTTTGATTTCTTACTTCCTTCTTAAAATGACTTCCGTATATTGAGATAATAGTGATGATATCACGGAATGTCATCAGTAAATGTTACCTTGTTATAAGAACAGAAATAAACATGCCAAAGGCGTACGATGTTGTAGGCTCTTGATATTGTCCCACATTGTGTGGTAGCTTTCCATTCTATAATAAAGACAAAATAAATTGTTTAGTGTTTAGATACTTATCATCTTATCTTCCACAAAAGCATAGATTCCATGATCCATAGTTCATTAATTAAAAGACTATATAATTCCATTGCACTGTATCCCCAGCTGATCAACTGAAGGACCTGTGGAAACCTATACAGCATTTTACAATAATTTTCTACAACATGGGGCAGGCAATGGTCGCCTGGAATTAAAGTTTTTTCTTTCTGAAAGTCTTCGGCAAAGATTGTAAAGATATCGCTGAATCTATACGCGATGTCATTGCAGCCATTGATTGTAAAACATGATATGATCATATCTTTTGCATCTTGATATGATCTCTTGCATAGCTGTCCACATACAGCTGAGCTTACGTAAGGTTCGTACAAGCTCTTCATCCTGATGTTTTATTAAATGTACGGTGTGTACCAACAAACGTGATTAAACCTGTTGCCTTCTCTGGTGACCGAGATCAGATTTCTACGCTTCTTCGACATCATGCATGGCAATGCTCTGAAGAGATGATAATGGTTTCCTTATCCTTTCTCAGCTTATCCTGCTCAGCAGGAATTATTTTCTCTTTTTTGTGCTTATTATATTGTAATTTAGAAGAAACAATCACTTTCTTAAATTTAAGAATATGTTACTATATATAGTATAGGTTGGTTAAAATAATGATCAATGAAGCAAAAGTATTTACTTATACTAATTAGTGTGTAACTATTTTAATTTAGAAAAGAAGCTCTTTGTTGCAATATAATATGCTATTATTGTACACTGCGTTTAAATCCCTTTGTATCTTTCAGCTGTGTATTACCATGAACAACATGGAATACGTCTTACAGACTCTTAGACCTCTTGAAGAAGAACTGGGCGTTGAACAAATAATAAAGGCGCTGAATTTAAACCAAGGTGGTTGTACAGCCAACCAGTGTCGCGAAACTATATATGATATGCTGAACAAATCTGAAGATGACGTTACGGGCAAAATATTTAGTATTATTTGCGGAATGGTTGAAAAGGTAATAGTTTACTCTACTTACATAATTCATATATTTTTTCTTTCACGAAAAGGTATCTAAAACTGATTAGATTGCTATATAGTAACATTCTAATTCATAAGTGAGTTTGAAAAGTCATTTTAAGCAAAATATTAACGAAAATTTAACCTTTATAGACTACTACTGCTTAATAAAAAAGAGCCGATTACCTAAAAGAGTAGTTAGAAATAAGGAAATATTTTGATAAGCTGAAGTAAGAATTTCCTTATTTAGGAAACCACGACATGGACTTCTTCGTATAGTCCTTGCTGTTTCCACGAAATGTTAATTATTTTCTCTAAATACAAAATTAGGTATCCTGAAAAAAAAAAAAACTAAAGACGAAACAAGTTTAAAAATTTCTCGAATTCAGTGCAATCTCCAGAATCTTTCACATAATATTAATGATAAGAGGAAAATGATTTTTATTAAACGTTTTTAATTTTAAAACAAAATTTAAAATCTGCGTTTAAAAATATTTAATAACACAGTTTCTTTAAATGCACATGCATTTGTTAAGCAGGATGCATATCAAATTTAAAAATGAAGCACAGGTAATCCTCAACTTACAGCGAGTGCAATTCCAGCAATCCCGTTAGTAAGTGTTTATTAAGCCTCAGTCTTAAGTCGATTCTGACTTAAGACTGAGGCTTATTTTATTCTTGATATTTTTTATAATTGTTTATAAAACAGGCTTATATTTGGCATAAAATGAATTTAAGAATATATAAATTTCTATAATACTTATCAGCAATTTATTTTTGTTCTTACACAAGTACTACAGACATATGTATTTTATCAACTTAATGATTACTCTTTTTTTAAATAGTTAACATGAACATTAATCAGAAAATTCCTCAGTGTTATTTCTCCATTCCTTTATATCTTTCATCTATAATATCCAGCTGCTTCTTGAATTTGCTTTTCATCTTTGATAAAAAGATCAGTATGTTGATCCATATTTTCGACAGAGTTCACATAACCCATTTTGTAGTCACAGCAATGTTTTACCGGAGCACGTACAAAAACGTACTAGTCGTAAAATTATAAAATTTTGAATTTTAGATTTTAACATTCGTAAACACGATTCGATGTAAGTCGGGCCATCTTAAATCGAGGACTATCTGTACAAAATTTACAATTTTATATTCTTAATGTTTATTTACTTTAGCATAATTTAGTAAAATCTGTTTGAGCAAAATTCTATAGATTTTCTTAAATCTTTTAAATTCAAACGGATAATAAACGGCAACAGTTGCATTCATTTTTTCAAATGAATGCTTCTATTGAACATCAGAAATATTTTCAGGTTCAAAGTTATTTCTTATGTTATTCGCAAAGCTAAATTGCAACTCTGCTGCGCAATAAAATTATTGCATTATGATGGTGTTGGTATCCAATCAGGAAAGAAATAAAAATATTGAAAGGCAGTCTGAAGCATACTTTTGTCTGCCGGAACAATTAATGGCTTCTACGAGACAGTCCTCAAAGATCATGACATCGCAAAATAACGGCAGCTAAGCAAGATGATAGAGGTATCTGCCTTAGACCTATGCATGTTTTGGTCCAGAGATTCTTAAACTGGAGTCTGAATGTTTAGGCAATCGAGAATTAAGGATCAGGAGACCATGAGTATTTTCCAAACTCAGATTTAAGTTATTGCTTAAAGAAATTTGTCAAATCAAAAGGGCCTCACATTTCTGTTACATTCTGTTCATTTTTATGTTTTTGTTTGAAAATAATTTAATTCCGTTCTTCTAGTTACGCCCGGATATGAAGAAGTTTGTTTTTCATCTGGCTTGGGCTCCAGAGAAGTTGGACGCAGAAAGCGTAAGTGTCAAATTTTCAATTAGATTCGTACATATATGCAACAGATATTATTACATTTTCTAAATTTAGTTAAAAACTGCTTAAGTTTCTTTTTCACGGATAAATTAATTTTATCTGTGTCAATATACGAATTTTCTCTATAAAGATGCATGCACTCATTTATTAGTATTTCCGGCCAGAAAGTGTATTTTAATCATTACCTTATTTCAACTGGGATGAAGTTTTCTAAATATAAGAAATGTATGTCTTAGGTTAGCTATATCAGTAAACAGACAAAAAAAAAAAGCAGATAGAATGACAAAACTTAAAGTATTACAATAATACTTTTTTTGCTCAAAAGCAAGAGCTTTGGAAAGAAGAATAATGTTATAAGTGATAAGAACAACACTTGTAGCTTAAAGATGGCCAATAATTAACTTTAGCATATGTACTAACGTTTGTAGAAACTTGTTTAACACGGGTTGTTTTATAACGGAAAAGATGCCAGATCCCCTCCGTTTTTGCTTTCTAGGTTAGCTGCTATGGGTTTTGTATGAGATTCTACTGCACGCCGATCTTAACATTAATACAGTTTTCCATGAAACTAGTGTATATTACTTTGAATAATTACCTAAACGAACCATAATATTTCATTCTCAGGCATTTCATATAACCATCAATATGCTATTCAGCGTTTCATAAGGTATGTAATTGCAACAATCAGTGTTAGTCAGTTTAATGTGATGTACTGTCCATCATGTTAACGGAACTACTGACTGCTATAAATAGCCTAATTAAACTGGAGGTACTTATGAAGTAAGTTAATGCTTCGCGTCACACTAAGCTCTCCTATATAATGGTTATTTCCAATAGAGGCAATTAATAATAAATTGGTATATATTATAAGCAGTTCGCTTGTATGAAAGCTGTGGATGAAATAAACTGTTAAAGGTTAGTTTCTGGTTCCAGAAATAGGCTAAATCATTCAAAATTATTGCAACTAAATTATATCTTTCGGAATTTTTTCAAATATGTGAATGCGTAATGATTAAGGTTTACTGTAATTTGGGCATTGACATCGAGCCACCGAAGTCCGCCCGTTTGTATACGGAAACATGGAAAATACATCGCTTATTGTGATCAACGATTCGGCTAATATTATCAACGTATTATAGAATAATTTTAATTGAAATAAAAGATAAAGTATCCAAACAAAATTAAAATATGTTATAAAAATTGACAAGTGTCAGTAAAATGTCTCCCAGTAAGTCGCGAAACTGTTTGTTTTCGATATTAATCAATCATTTTCAATCATCAGAATTTTGAATCTCTATCGATATTGAGGGCGATAAGACCTAGGTCCTTCTTCAGAAGCAAAAACAGTTCTTCAAAGTTTCCTTCTTCCTAGGCGTAGGAAAAAAGTAATAAGAACCTGAAAATATCTACGCCAAATTACGGCTGCATTTTTGCCTAGTTTTAAATTTCACATTTACATGTTCTTTTCCAGTCAATGAGGCATGCCGTCTGAGTATTAATATTAGGTCAAATGATTTTCAGACATATTATAAAAATTCATAAGTACTCATTTATATGTTGCTTGTTGTAGTTATTTTAAATACGTTCAATTTCATTGCTGTTTTGAATGATATTTTCTCACTTGTTTAAATGTTATCAGAGTAGCTATAGACAAACTTATATCATATTAAACGGAGCCTATTGATGTATCAAGCGAAAAACATACTAGTGAAACAAAATGGTTATTTGGAAATAACATTTTAAAGGCCAATATCTTAATCCTATAAGCACACGAAATGAGATAAAGTTATACTCTAGTAAAAGAGCACGTTATCCAGAGTCTTTAGCTATCATTGTACGTTTCAGATCCTTTACCAGATGGGTGCATATGAAAAGTATTCTCGGTAGAATTTCATATCCACCTTTTTGATTTATTGATAAGGAGCATTTTTGCCCCGTGCTCTCTATTTTTCAGTTAAGCACCATAAGAAGTTTTACAGTATTTGGTAAGGAGTAAAGTAAGCATTTGTGCTCAGAGTAAAAGTATTCTGAAGAAAGCTACATCAAAATCCGATAAAGTTGTTGCAAATATACTCATTCCTAAAATACAGCTAGTCATTTTCAATTTAAATCATTCAAATATTTATAAAGATTTCTTCATCGTTTCTAATTAAGTAACTGTGCAATTTTGCGACATTTAATTTGAGATAAATATTTATCTCTGGCGTGTGTTAATACCTCGCAAACCTACGGATGTGTTTAAGAGTTAAAAATTATTTAAATATAGGCAATTTATATTTTGTATAAAATTACGCATTTGTTAATATTAGCAGATTCATGAGATAGTGTAGATAAATGCATAATTCCAGACGAAAAGTTTTCCTTATCTTTCATGCTTCGTTTTTGCATACAAGTAAAGGCTTCTATTTTATACAACATAATTATTAGCGCTGAATATTCAGATGCATCTCTTGAGAACGTGTACATTGTCGGCATAAAATGCACATATTTCAATAGATTATATCTCTCAAAATATTGTATCGTCTCATAGGGAATTTTTATCCATCCTTTTACTCATATAAGGATTGACAAAGGAAGTTTTACAATAAATTCTAGTTGAAATGTAAATTACAGTAATAACTGTGATTTTTAGCTTTTGATTTGAAAAATTCTTAAATATTGAAAACATTCTTAAAATATATTCAAAACTGAGGTCAGAAAATAATATTTGATGCTTTGATTTTATTACAGGCTATTCGGCCTTTATTGGAAAATCTCGATACTACATTGAGAAATCTCTACAACAACCTTTTGCAAGCTAACTTCGACAGACTGTTGGACATGATGTGGACAGTTCTGATGCATGAATTGATGGAAACAGCACAAAGTAACATTGGTGTATGTGGTGAGAATTTCACATTGCTGTTCTCTTAAATAACAGGTACTGTTGTGTTATCGGGACCGGATTCAGGTATCGAAAAACGGTAACGATTTGGCGAAAAATTCCAAGCATGAAAGTAATCGGCAAACTATTTACGATACGGGTTAAGTTAAAAAAAATCAGAAGGAAAATAACGTAACAGATATTCGAAAAATTAGAAATTTTTAATGTAAATTGAACAACTTCCCTAAACACTTCCCTGATATTTATTTCGCCAAAACGCGCTGCCCTATAACCTTTCAATAGTTGGCTTATGACAACCAGTAATAGGATCGAGAAAATTATGATTAACATAGAAATGTTCAAATCCGACCGGTGTTAATTCTTCAGTATTACACCTTTACAACAGTCTCAGTATATTATAGTGCTACCAACAATATTTTTTTCAATAACTTTTTCTGGAAAAATTCTTGTTGAGAGGTTAAATTCAGCAACTCTCAAACATTCTTTTGGTTTTCTTCCCAAATCCCGCCGTACACCAACTGGAGAAGAAGCATACGACTAACGTCGCTTTTCGACACGAAAACAACCTCAAGACTTTGCCATAATCACACACACACACGAAACAGACTTTCGTCAACTTCGATAATATTACCAGTGCCGCCTATTTTAACTAACGGTCTAAATATTAATGCATGGCCACAGATTTCCCTGGTATAACTGTTTCACTCAACAACAATGTAGTAATTCATATCAAGCTGATAGTAACAAAATTCAAGGAAATTAATTTTTAAACACCACGCATAAGTGAAACGAATTGCAGTTCAGAAACTGGTTCTCAATCCTTCAAACCAATTCTGAGAATACTATCCTTTTATTTTTCTTTCGGCATATCATATCTTCACATGTCCATTCCAGTGTTTTCTTCGAATTGAAGAAAATGAGCAATTGTTATGGCTTTTCGTGCACTTTCTTTCAGAGTGAATAATTCCTCGTTCCTGAAGAAAATGTATAGAAAATGTTTCTCCATTACATAAGTCTCAAATTTTTATATCCATGGTAAATACAATAATAATAAAAACACAAGTTACCGATAATCTTTAGAATTTCTATTCTCGTTAACAAAACACAATCTTTTACTTTTTAAAAGAAGTAAAAAAGTACTTAAAGTCATTGTAACAACTTTTTAAAAGTACCTTTTGGCAACTTTCTGTGACAGAGCCTCTTGGTGAGTTTAGCAAAACATTTGGTCATGACTCCGATCCCGATAATAGAAGAGTACCAAATAACATTTTATTTCTAACAATGCATTTTCTGCGTGATTGAAAATGCATCTGGTAAATTTATTCATGTAGAAAATCTTGCAACAATTTATGCTTTCATAATTATCATAAAGACGTAATATACCTTGATCGGTCAAACTGTTAATTTCACAAAAAGACACAAAAAGTGATTTTGAAAACAGATTAACATCTAACTAAATGTAAAAAATATGAAAAGTAAAATAAAATCGAAAATTTAAGTGTTAAAAAATAATAATAAACGAGGGAAATGGCCGTAACCTGAGCAAATTTGCAAGACTGTAATTTCGAAGGTAGAAATTTCTTCCTCAGCTGCAGAAGTGAAGGAAAAAGAACATGCCACAGTGAGAACAACTAGGAGAAGTTTGTAATGTTCTAACTAAGCAATTGGAAGCAAACTCCTATCACCACCATCTATTGGCTGAAATTGAACACGATGCAACTTAAAAGCAAATTCTTGAGAAACTGAGAAAGAGGAATTATGATTAGTATCATTAAGCAGAACCAAAATATTTTAATGTATGCAAAACCTTTCTTGGAAATCTAATTCGCCAGCGAAAGATAGAGTTCGTATATCTGTTGATCAATCATATTTCCTAGAAACATTTCACATCGATAATAATTCTTTACCCATTTACGTTCACATTTTGTTCAGTAGATGATACTAGCAGCTTAATTTCCTTGCATTTAGATAGAACATCCTTCGTCTTCATTTCGTGTCATTTCGATAGAAAATTCTCCAATTTCTCTAGGCTGTTCTGTACCCGCAAGCAGCCGAACGTTGAAAACACTGAGCACTGGTAGTTTGACCTGGGTGCGATTCTAAGCGAACGAGTGGGCTGCATGAGGTCTTTTGTGGCTTTCCCCGTATGTAATGTGCATATGAACCATTTCGCTTTGAAAGTCATCCACGGAGGCTGTCCCTTTTTAGACAGATAGCCTTCGAATGCTTTTCCATAATCAAATAAACCAAACTCCCTGTTGTTTCCATCAAAGAACCTGTATTTTTCCAGTCACTTTTCGCTTCCATAACTGAAGAAGAAAGTAAATCTTCTAGACTATAGACCTGCAAATTTACTTGCATTACAGCGATTTCTGTTGTATATTATGATTTGTTTTAGTATTCAATTGAATTTTCCTTAAAGCATGTGCATATTAATTTTTGTTTATTTTAAAAATCTTCATTAACACATTCTATGTTTCCTGTAGATCTGCGTAATTTTCTTATTTCAGAAGTATGTTAAAAATCGGCAAAATATTTCTTATACAAAGTATAATACAAAATATATTCACAATGAAGCAAAATTCATTAGAAATATGTAAACTCTGACTTTACTAAATGTAAGAAATATTTATTAAAATATGTTTCTAATTTCATAGATATTTTAGAAAGTAACAAGTCAAATGCAAACGCTGAACGAAATGAAATGAAGTTAAAAGATGCGGTAATGATTACGTACTAAACAGTAGAAGGATTGCGTAATTCAAGTTATTCTGGATATTGTGATCTTGTAACACCCAATATTACATAAATGTTTTATGGTCAGCAGTTACTAAACTAAAATAAACAATAAAAGAGAGAAGTTCCAGTGGCGTATAAGCAAAGTTCGCAATAAATACGGGAAAAAAGCAGAGAATCTTATCTGGTAGATTTCAATTATGGTATTAATTAGAGAACATTCTATTATACAGCGTATTTGAAAATAATTACTCGACTAAATACACCTTGAATTGAAATTTTGGGGCAAGAGTAATCTTAGTTTGGCAGAGATTTTGAATAAACCTCTGTAGAGTCATGTGTTCTAGATTTTGAATAAAACTCTTCAGAGTTTTATTCAAATATCTAAATTAAAATTACTTTTTTTTGTTAAGTTTTAAATTTCATATTGGTATGTTTCTCTTCCAGTTTGAGCTCTTGATCTCTCTCAGATCCATGCTGCCGTTTGAATGAATGAATCAAATAAAGTTAACCTTCAGATTATATCTTTGGAAAGATGACATTTTTTGATAAAAATACCATTATGTTTGAGATTTTGTTCGAGCTTTTCAGCAAGCACGTTTTGTATTAATAAGTTGTTCTTTAGTCTATTTAAAACAAGTTACTTAAAATTTAAAATGGGTCTTGAAAACAACTTTCAAAATGAAATGATTTAATATAGTATACTCATCAGAAGCAAAAATGAAAATTTTATGGTTCGGAAAGAAATGAAATACGAAAGTACGAGTTTCTACGAGTAGGAATTTAAAATCCACCATTTTGCATAAAATGTGTATCTAAAATAAAATATGTCTTTTAGAAATCGGTCTTTCATAAAATATGACGAATTTCTGGTCGCTTAAGTCTGTGATAATATGAGCAGCAAGAGGTCTGATGGTTTTATCTTCTTAAAGAGTTTCATAGTTGAACACTTCAGAGTAATTGACACTTGTAAGTCACTTGAAATGGCCTTGCTGAAAAATTTATCATTATTTCCTTTTTATGCAGTACGCAGTTTCCTCAATCTTTAAATCTTTATGTAAGAGCGACATGTGAGACTTCTTTGTGCGAACAAGAAAGTCTGAATCCATCATTATATTGTGTAAAAATCATTATATATATGTAAAAATTTATTTACACAATGTGAAGCTGATGAATTTGATTTTTAACAGCAGAGTTCCAGTTAGAGGCAGTGTAACACAAAATAGATCGAATGCATGTAGTATAGGCTTTGTACAAAGGCTAAGGTTGGAATAACAGGAAGAAATCGGTTCATGATTTCAAGAGCTTTACTACGCAGACTAGTAATATGTAATATGTGGAGTCCAAGAAAGATTTCGGTTTAATAATGATTTTGAGGTAAATTGCTTTGTTTACTGTTAGGTACTGATTCCTTAAACAAATGTAAAGTTTTTTTATTTGATCGACGTTTTCTCATTTTTCTAAGTATGAGTAGTTGAAATTTACTGGTGATGATATTAACTCTCTATTTCTTACACCAGTCTATGGCGGAAGGGAGAAACCACCACCGTATTTATATCAAAATAAAGAGTGAAGCAAAGTGAAAACAAGCGGTAGCGCCGACTGTCCAAAAGACAGTAAACAACATGAAAAATTAAGATTTTGGAATTTTAAAAGCGACAGGAAGGACTAGATTGGAATTAATGTCATTATCTAAACGAGAAACTATTTTGTGAATATGAAAAGCTTCAATAAAATCCAATTCAGCGACTAATCCGCGTAACTATATCACGGAATCTTTGCCTAATCTTCGAAGATTATGCAGATGCTTCACAATGACGTAGAAAATTATAAGGAACAATCAAGTTTCTACCCGACAGTTTTAAACTGGAATTGCCTGCGCATGCGGAAATCGTGTGTAAGATACCTCAGGTGACCTAAAACGAAGAAAAAATAGACTAATAATAATCGACAAAAGGGTTGAAAGACAAAAGTCGGTACACTGCCTTAAGTTTTACTGGTACAAGAAAAACACTATCATAGAATAAAAGAAAAGATTTGGTCATCTAATACGGGTACGTTTGCTTCAGTTTAACAAACTACATTTGGCTTCTCATATGGTTTCTTCAAAAGAGGTTACTAACAATTTCTTAAAATAGCATGATTCATTACTTTGGCAGGGCTATTTTGAAATACTGTATATGTGCCAGTAAAATGCGGACCTGTCTGCCAAAAGTAAGTTTTATTACAACAATGATTCAATTTCAGTAATTAATATTACATATCGATATCCGTAATGCATTCTATCGTCTACGAAAGTAAAGGCAGGTAACCGTACTGTAGAAGAGGCATATGGGGCCATGATCCTATGACTACACGATACACATACAATACGCAGCATCATTATTTGCATGTAAGCTCAATACCTTCTCAGATGAAAGCCGCTCGACTGCAATATCGATTTGTTTAAGTAACGTTCGCTTGTTGATAACGAGACTTTCGCCTGATTAATTCAAATCCTGAAATCTGCTTTGAGGATCAAATGGAAAAACAAATATTAATTTAAATTTTATCTATACCTTCAATTATAACGTAACTGCCAATTTTTATTAAATTATAAGGTTATCCTCAAAATTAAATTTTATCTGTCCGTAAATATGGCAAGTGAACGTTATTTATAATAAATCTTTAAAATGTAACCGATTTATTTTATAGACATAAGAACTAAAAGTACAATTTTATTCAAAATGCTCCGAAGATAATGAACTTTATGAATTTTTAAATATATTTTTCTTAATTAACACGCAGTTTTCTAGGTGTAAGAGCTGAAAGTACAATTTTATTTAAAATGATCTGAAAACAATCGATTAAGGAGGCTCGTTCACCTTAAAACCTTTAAGATCTTCGACTGTGTTACTATTGCAAGAACTGGGATGACTTATTTGTTTTAAAAGAAATTATTTCCAACATTTTACAGCTCATTACATAATATAGCTGCTTTGGGAACTAGTAAACAGAAAGTTTGTGTTGCCACAAATATTTTTATAATTTAATCTGCTGTGTGACAAAATTTTTTATGCATTCACGTCATGTTTTCACCTTGCGCACTCATTTTAAAACATTTTGTTGCATAATATAATTCCATATTTAATATATAGCTTTTATAACATTTGAAAACTACTGTGAATCAAAAATCCTAAGAATTTCATGTTAAATTCCTATTTTATTTGGAGTTGAGTTTATAAAATGCATTTTATTAAAAAAATATGTAATGCTTTCATTTATAAAATTTTTGAATATTAAAATATTCATCAGATTTTTTAGAAGATAGTGTCCATATAAAGAATTCCGTCAAATTTCAAGTGTGTACCATTAGCCAGTTTTAAAATATCATGCGCGCAAGGTGGAAACATGACTTGAACGCATAAAAAAATTGTCTCAAAGCAGATTAAAATATAAAAATATTTGTGGCAACACAAACTTTATGTTTACTAATTCCAAAACAGCTATATTATGTAGTGAGTTATAAAAAGTTGGTAGTAATTGCTTTTAAAAGAAATAAGTTGCCCCAATTCTTGCAACAATAACATACTGGAAGATCTTAAGGGTTTTAAGGTGTCCGAGCCCATTTGATTATTTTTTAAATATATCTGTCTGAATTAAAATAAAATCTTAATCCTTCATTAATTTATATGGCTCTAGTGTAGAATTGGGTGCTACTTCGATTAGCGACAATTTTTCTTAAGTTTTGGCCATGAAACTTCACTTCTGGTTACCATGATAGTTTTAACTTTGTTTTAGCTTCTTGATTTTATTTAAATGAAAATAGATTGATGTGTACATGGAAAAATTTAAGACAGTGCGCAATGCCTAGTTTGTGCAATTCTAGGATGCGTTTTTTAGTGAAAACAGATCGATGTGTACATGGATACAGAGTTTGTGAAATTCTTTGACTTCTTATTTTGGTTTTGTGTAGCGGTCATTTTGAAATTGTGCCTTCCTGGCGCCGATCTTGGCGTCAAAAAAGAATCGCCAAGAAACAAGGGGCACCCAATTGTAAACTATTACCATTTATATAATTTCAGATCTGGTTTTTAGTATTTAAGGTATTCTAAAAATGAATTAGTATCGAAATAATTCTGAATTAGAAAAAAAAAAAAGGGGGGAAAAATTAATAAAAGAAACTGAAATTTTTCATACCGTATTACGCCCAAAGGGGCGTTTTTGTTAACGTTTTGTGTGTTACCTTTATTTATTAAATATAATGTTCTTCGCACTTAAACCATAAAAATACAATTCAACAGCAACTTGGCAAAATAATTTTAAAAGACCATGTCTTAAGAATTTCCGATACACAGTCTTGAGCGCTGGAGATAAAAAGGTATTTTTTTTCGTACAGTGTTGCCAAGGTTAGCTTTGATATCGTTGAGTTTCTTAATCAAAACTCATAAATACCTTGAAAAGATGAAATAGATAGTAAAACAGATTCCAGATTTGGGCTTCCAGATGCCCATAATCGAGGTGGAGACGTGCGTTATTCAAAATTTGATGGCCGTTGTTTTGTCACAGTGCGAGAAACGTGCATACATGTATGCAGATTGTTCATTATTTAATTTCTTGAAATATAATACAAGGCTCTAATATTTTACAAAAATTTAAAACACCATTCGCCGTGTATAGTGAATCAATGTAAAATGCCAAAACAAAATTAATAGCCCTTCTGGGCTAATGCCATTTAGGCTAATTACTTTAAAAATCTGTGTTCTGTTTCAAAGAAAGTCTAATTTTCTCAATGGATTAATAAAAAAGTGAAGTACTTTTCTCAAAGTTTAATATTATAATAGCGACTTTTGAAATTTTTAAAGACCTTTCTTTTGACTGGAACTCGGACACAAGATCTGCTTTCCATGCAAAGAAAAGCTCTATCATCTAGTTACCGAAGCTGATTAACAGCTTCTCTACCTGAAGTTGTGGCTGAAATATCGAAGGCTTTACTAGCGGCATTAATTGTAAACAAATGCAATCTGATGCTTCGTTTACTTATTGATACTTCCTTTAGAAAATTTTGATATTATATCATAAGGTTTTATTATAGTACCAGCTAACTAATTATTTTGGTAAATTGAAGTTGTAGTTATTTTACTGTATTACATATGAAATTAACAAAACTTTATATATTACAGAAAGAAAGATTGGCGTTTTTCGATCGACTATACTCTTCCTTAGCAATTCTTGTCGACTTCTTTCATGGTAGTGGTAAAGGTTTACCATTAGATTGCATTCAAAATGCTCCGTATCAGGTAAGCAAATAATTTACTCGCTTAGATTTAGATGAAGAAAGAATAGCAAGAAGGTTGATAATAGTGTACTTCTTCATTAAAACTATTACAGATTATTGATTTAGTTAGTCTACTCCAACTGTTATTGTATTTCTGTAGATTATTTTCAAGAAAGTGCAACTCAAAACTTTTGCTGTAAGGATTATTTCCATAGTAGAAAGCAAATGATAAATTGTCTGGGTATTTTGCTCTTTTAATTCGATAGAATAAATCTTAACAATATAATAACAAGAATACACCGTTAAGGAAATACCTGCACACACGAGATGCATTTTAAGATGATAAGCGGTGAAATAATTTTTGCTGTTATCATTTATCACGAAAATGTCTCAATTATTGTAAGTGTTATACGTATATCAAGGGAAATAAATTTTAATTTATTCCCTTAATATATATGATGTGGGAAATATACATTTGTCAGTAGTATTTCTCAGAGCAAAATTAAGTATGAAACAGCCTCTATTGTTTTGTAGGATCAAACAGAAAAATATATCCGTAATATTTAAATACAGAATAGTGTAGTTCTAGAATAAAAATGAGAAAATGTACTAGTGGTATTTAGATATAAATAATGAAGTGTAATATTCTTATGCTTTTTGATTTTTCGTAAATATTAGTTTTGTGTCTTATTAATTTTAACGGGGTTTTGTGATATATATTTATACAAAATATGTGTGTTTCTTAAAGGATGTAATGTTAACAAAAATAAGCAATATATTATATCTCCCCAAGCCCGCTAGAACTAAAACGACTGTCTCTCCAAAATGAGCTTCTAATGCTACAGAGAAAAAATTCAGTACCTCCATTTTTTTCCGGAAAATGTGCTTTGCGCGGTTAGAAGCGTAGTTTGAAAGGCCAACAAAACTCCTTTTAAAAAAATTTAAAACGTTTTAAAATTTTAATTACTTACAATAGGTTGTAATTGTATTTGCATCACTAAAAATAGGGGAATATTCCTCAATCATACTGAAAGTTTACGCATTTTTTCATACTGAAGTTACCATTGTAATAGAAGAACACGCGGAAGAAATAACTGCTAATTGCAGCTAATAATAGGCAATAAGAATCAGTGTCACGTGAAGCAATTTGCAATATCATAGTTTCGAAGGTAAAATAGAACCTTCTTCCTCGGCGAAAGGATTGAAAATGATGAGAAAGAAACATGCCTATGTAAGAAAAAAAGAATAATTCGACATTATTCTAGGTGAATGAAAGAAAACCCTAGCTCGTCTAATGACTAAAAATTGACCGAAAAACAACAAAGAATCAGTTCTTAAGCGGAAGAGGTTTTAAAAAGTTAAGAACAACTAGACCTCTTATAACTTAAAGAGTAATTAAATGTTTGAATACGTTACTAATAATTATATTTCTTAGCTATGTGCGACTATAAAAACCTTTCAGTTTTGATTAATGATCCAAATTCTAATCCCTCTTTACTTGACCACATTTTAAGGATCTGTTACTTATTGCTTCTTGTTCCCTTTTTGGTCAAAAGATGGCTCTAAAAACTTCGTTTTATATTCTTTAGCTGAAACGTTTTTGAAGTTTCTATATGCGTACCTACTCTTTCGTTCGTACTCATACTCATACTTCATACTCATGCGTACGTACCCTTCGGGCATGTGTTTCATTTTCATCGTTTTCATTTCCGCAGCTGAAAAAGTAGGTCATGTTAACTTTTTAAAGTATAACCCTAGAAATTTACTTACGTTACACTAATTTCTATTCCTTTCTATTAATATTGCTTTAACATTTAAAATTATCATTGTTTTCACATTTTCGTAGTAATAAAGATAACTTTAAATATATTTGTATCCGGGGTGCGGAAGACCTTACATGAATTCAAATATCACTTTTGATTTTTAACTAAAAATATTATTCTAGTAATGTAGTTCGTTTTTAGTGCGTTTCGAAACGATTACTATAGCATTTAATAACACATATTTTCCCCGAGAATGAAATAAGTTTTACAAAGTATTTTGATGAAAAAGTAAAATTTTACAAACTTTCAAAGATTTTCCTGTGAAAGACCTTTGACACTTCATCTCAAATTTTGTCACATTTACTCCTCATTTCTTATATTTATTTTTGTTTATATGTGAATATTCATTTCAAGGTAATAACGAGATTGCAGATCTTATCGAAATTTCACATTTTAATTTAATTTAGTGAACATTGTAGCCCATTTTAAGTTAACGTTGTTATTAATTTTGTTTTTATCTATTAATCAGCGTTATGTGAGTGACACACTAACTTAAATTACAAAATTTTCTTTTACCTTTTCGAATACTAATTTCCATTAACACATATTTAAATCTCTTTAAATATATTCTTCACCATGTTATTTATAGTAATATATACGTTAAATATTTCCAGGATCTTTTCCATATTCTAAAACTGCAGAAGTCTGAAACACTACATCTGATTGAACTTTACATCTTACAAAGATTAGAAGAACAGGTAATTAATTAATTTACGTTAAGTGCTTTTTCAGGATCTGGTTTTACGTTTAGACATATTTTAATATATGTCAATTTTCTTCCTCTTTTTCAGCAAAAATTAGATAAACCTACATATGGTATATTAACAATAAAAGCTTGTTACAATCCTACCGCTGAGAGTTTATATGTGGATAGTAAGTATTTCTTTGTATATATTAATAAAATTTAATTATTGAATGAAACATACCAAATGAACATAAGAAAGTTACGCGTAGCATGTAAAATATGTTCTAAAAGTTACAGATTTCCCGGAATTTATGATAAAATATAAGGTGTCCATACTCTATTCTTGTGAAATCTTGTGAGAAATAGTGCTGTAAACTTTTTGTGGTGGCACATATATCGAAGTTTTTCTCCACCATTTGTTTTGATTTAATATACAAATAATGTGAGGATTTGGGGAACCTAAAATATTTATGTCACAAGGATATTGAAACGGGATAGTCCGAAAGTGAATATTTGGTGTAGGATACTGTATGACAATATTTTAGGACCATTTTCCTTCAATGAAAAGCTGGAATTTACTTTAATACATTGATTAATTACATTTTCTTGCAGTTCGAGGACCGTTAACAAAAGGTAATTTTGTCGCATGTTGAAGTTGTGTAACTTATTACAAAAGCTTTGAACCTTGTTTGTGAAAGTGTGACCTATAGCAAACGTATAGTATGTTCGATCTCAACAAGTTGTTGAAGTTGTTCAGTGACTCTGTGGGCACCCTTTATTTTCTTCTTAAACATTTGTATTCGTTCTTTAAATACACTTGTAAGTGAAGTTTCACTAGAAAGGTTGAACTGAAGCATGGTATTTGAATGGCTATAGTTGTAGAACAATTGATCAATTATATCTCTAGACATTGGAAAAAATGTCAAAAATGCAAAGTGACCAGTGACATTTGACTATATAGCGCATTATAAATATATGTTTAAGATGATGGTAAGATTTTAAAACTTGGTTAATTGGCAATAATACTTCTAAATTATGCATGATGCTGAGCAGCGTGTCTCAAACTGCGTTCTGAAAAACCGTCTTAAAAAGTAACCGTAAAAAATGACAAAAACTGAGGTTAAAGAATAGCGAGCATCGTCTGCTGTTATGAATTTAACACAATTTAAAACAATTCTTAGGAAACATAAAACTAAGTAAACTATATCAAGCCTAATAAAATTAATAATATCGCACGAAGCCAGATGAACGTTGGCAACGAATTACTACTGAAGAATTATATTATGTTGCCGACGAAATATACATGCAAAATATAAGCGAATTTTGGAGACGTATGTCAGAGGAATACCCGAGTTTTGCCGAAATAAACTTATCATATTTTACTTCTTTTTGACATAACGTATTTGTGCGAGGAAGTCTTCTTTTTGCAACAACGTATTTGTTTAAGGAAGTCGGTGAACATTAATAGTTGCATCTGGATTCGATTCTAGGCGAACGGGCTGGCTGCATAGGCATTTTCGTATTTTTCCTCATGTATATTGCGGATACGAGTTAGTTTCCGATAGAAAGTTTTCCTTGAAATTCCCTTTTCCCTTTAGCCAGAGCTCTCGCATGCTTTGCCCTATTCATATAAACAAAATCAAACCGAATATAAAGGCTGCGCAAGGACTCTTATGGACAAGTTGCAGTTGGCTTCATTTAAAAGCGTAAGAAATATCTTATATGTTACCAGAAAAGTAAAAACTCGCAGTATCGTATTTGAAATTAAATATACCAATCAGAAGAATAACAAAAAAAAATTAAGATGATTAGTATCAACTAATAGCCATACGGGACCTGCCGGGAGGTATTTCAAATATGGAGCTAAGTTTTACTTCACACACCTGTTACTAGTCTGAATCTGACATGATAATTACAATTATGCATTCAAAATTGATAAACAACATCGCAATTAAAAGAACTAAATATAACTCCTAGAAGGGATAAATATAAATTAATGTTACATAGTTTATCCACAATACAATTATATTTATTGACCCTATGACAATGTTTCCGAACTTCTGAAAAGAAATGTTTCCAGTTCCTAATGTTACAAAAAAATAACGCACAAAACTAATTAAATGAAACAAATAATATAAAAACAAATTAAATTATTTGTACTTTTTATAGACATTTTATCAAAGAGAACTGAACGAACTGAATGTATTTGACTCTTCTAATTACAATTTTAATTTCATGGAAAAATGTTAGGATAAATAATATATGAGATATGTATTTTTTACACTTTTAAATGAAACCAACTGCAACTTGTCCATAAGAGTCCTTGCGCGGCCTTTATATTCGGATTGATTTTGTTATGAATAGGGCAAAGCATGCGAGAACTATCTGCCTAAAGGGAAAAGGGAATTTCAAGGAAAACTTTCTATCGGAAACTAACTCGTATCCGCAATATACATGGGGAAAAATACGAAAATGTCTATGCAGCCGGCCCGTTTGCCTAGAATCGAATCCAGATCCAACTACTAGTGTTCAGCGAATTGAGTACTCGGCCGCTTGTGAGTCCCCTTATTTTCAGAACAACTGGTGATAGAGATATATTTCCATTTACAAAATGGTTTAAAATAAGGCACACATTCGTGTTTTAGCACTTTTGAAATTTTAAAAATTCAATTTTTTAAATTTACGATGTTTTGCTTTTACACATTCCTAAGGTATATATGTTTAGTAAATGTCAGTATTCATTTTAAAAAATAAGACACTAAAATCTTCTGTTCCCTCACAGCAAAAATTAACTTCGGTATTCAAGTTTAAATTTGAGGTTGTGGTTACTAAAAACTCAGATGCTATACATAAATTGAAGAGCGAAATTTCTAGTTTTGTATAAAATTATTAAAAATATACACATCATTATAATCACACTAGAGAAGGAAACCACTTCTACCGTGAATGGAGTAAAAGATGATTTTTGGTATGCAGAAGGTAGGGAAAAGATTTCATCATTTTTTTTTTTTCAGTACAAGAAGGAGATGTTATTCGCAGAATCTTAGAATTAAATTAGTGTTCTAGAAAACACCGACGAGCTTTAGTATTGGCACATAGCTAACTCAAACATTATTTGTCTAAATTAGAAATTAAAAATTAATTACAATTTAAAATAGTTCAATAATTTTTTGTATGATTATTAAATAGATGTATTAGATTATTAATTAGATTCACTAGATTATTAAATTTTTAAAGGAGATTTTATTCATAGAATATTATAGAAATCATGTTCTATACACTGGTAAGATTTCAGGTATTGGCACATAGTAAATTCGTAATATTATTTGCAGGGGTTAAGAATGAAAAATATTCCTACTCAAATGATTTTTTGTATGATTAGATTGTGAGTTTAAAGCAGTAAAAATGCATATGAATATTTAACATATTTTTAACATTTGAAATCTTACAAACTACTTGCGTGAAAATGCCTTTATTATAATAAATGTAGGCCCATTTGCGTCCGACTTGTAAAAGCCGCTGAACACTATTTGTTCGGGGAAGGGTTCGAGTCCTGGCGAACGAGCTGGCTACGTGGGCGTTTTCGTGGTTTTTCCCATGTGTAACGTAGATACGAGCCAGTTTCCCTTAAAAAGACTTCCACGGAGCATCCCTTCCTTTCCGTGTAGTATCTAATGGCGGAGCACGTAATAAGTAAAACAAAATTATAACAAATGTGACAAAATTCAAAAATTAAAATATGCAACACATTTTGAAAAACAAAAGAATATGTCTGAATGACATTAAACGAAAAAACTCCAATTTCGAATTATCCCAATTTATATTTCACCTGAGCCTTTAAGGAATGCGATAGAGATTGTTAATCGATGTTGAAAAATAAAAAATCCAAAAATTTGAATTAAATATTTTAGTTAGTTTTTGTTTCACGGTAGTGCAATGTTTTGTGTTTACTTTTTAGAAAGAATATAAACGTTTACTAACTGATGCTAAGAAGACTAAGAGAGAGTAAAAAAGTTAGATTTCGTAGTGTTTGCAAAACTGATTTGTTTGTAAAGTTTGCAATTCGGTAATGTTTGCAAAACTTAAAATTTAAAACTACTGTACTATGTATGCTTCCATTATTTAAAGGAATTTTATGACTAAAAGTACATGTTTAGGACCAACACTCCCGTAGGTAACGGCCGAGAAAAGATCATGGAAATGTTAAGTTAAAACATTTAAGATCAGTTGAATGAGTCAGTGTGTTTTATTTGAGATTGTTTAATACTTTTATCAGTTTATGTGAAATGTTTAATTGTTTTACTTACTTTAAATTTTGCAGTTCTGAATGCTAGAGAACTTTTGCCTTTGGATCCAACTGGTAAGCACAGAGAACTCCTAATATAACTATATACGAATTATTTTCCTGCAAAACGTGATTTAAATACCTTTAAAAGGAGGGGTAATTTTAAAGGAATATACACATGAGACCTCAACGTCCATCGAAACAGAGGTTTTTAAATTTTATCGACTCAGAAAACTCAGAAAACGTCTATGTGGAACCCGTACCATCCTTAGAACAGTAAATGTCAAAACACCACTGAAAATATTTCAAATTTGCTTACATTTTTTTTTTACATTTCTTACATTTTAAAATAAAATCCAATTATAATTTCACTCATAAAAACAGATTTGTGTCATACGTTTTTAAGTAACTCTATCAATAGAAATAAGCAAATATTTTTAATTACCTATTTAGAATCTTGGTTCTGTGATTCTGATGATATTAAAACATTCTTTCAAATTCTGATTTAGGCTTGCGGAACCTCTGTAGAAATGGTCTCAGACTCACATACATGTTCTAAGAACAGAGATATGTTCACATACATGTTCTAAGATAAACAGCCAGATTTTGTATAATTAAAATGAAAATGAATACATATATCTATATATATATTATGTGATGTACCAGTTTTGTCAGGAAGAAATAGATTGAAGAATCATAAATGTAGTCGTAACTTAAATTATCAGACGATAAGTTTAAAAAACAGGATCCATTTATTATTGGTCAAGTGAAATAGCAGTTACAAAATCAGATATCCAGAGTTAATAAAAAAGAACTACTTATAACATTTTGTATGAAGTTTACTGCATCGTGACATTTAAGAAAAATCCCCGATATTCTTTTGCGAGTCCTTTTATAGCCTCTGAAAAGGCGGAGCTTCCAAGAAATGACGTCAGCCTCGTTAGCCAATCCAGTTTGCTTTAAATATTTCCAGAACATTCTATAACTGTACGTGTAGAAAAGGCGGGAAAAACAACTTGACTACGGGGCTGTGGATTTAATTCCACGTACTTTCAAATAAGAGAACGTCGCCATTAAAAATGAAAAGAACATACAGTTAGAATTTTAAGTGTATTCTTGACTATGGAATTTTATTATTACAAAATATATATGCAAATTTGCACTGCTTACACCAGTATGAATCCTGCTAAGCAACTAGGATTGATTCAAGGAAAGTATATATCAAAAATACCAACTTAATACGAAAAATCGGTAACGCCAGATTACTGAAGCGCCACCAGCTGCGGCTGGGGAAGAAAATTTACTAATCATGCGTACGGGTGGGAAATTCTCCAACCTTATGACAAAAGTATGTTTTAGCATACGCGCATGCAGTGACAAAGACAAATCCCAAATTTATTCATTCTATCTTTTTTTTCTTTCAGTAAGACTCTCTCAAGTATGATCAGTCCAAATTTCGAGGTCTCTAAAACTGTAAGAATAAATATTTACAACAGATGCATATCGTATTCGAGTATTTTCCATCCGAGCATTTTGACCTCAAGGTTCTGAAATTTTTTAAAGTATTTATGTAACTTCCCCCTTCCAAAAGACATTCTGAAGGAAAACTTCCTTAAATTTTAAATCAAATTCATCCATGCAGTTATTTTTTCCTCACAGTAATCGATTTGCTTGTGGTATTTGGGTGCAAGAGCCCTGACGATGAAGCAATAATAGTGAACAGCTTAAAAAAGGAGGGACATCTAATATTTCCAATGGCTCTGGGAAGATCATTGCACGTGCGAAGATAAATTGAAAGAGGAACGACGTGAATGACAAATTTTGACGAAATGCAAGTTGCACACTCGATGCAGACAGCCCTTCCAGAAGCATTAAATGATGTAACTGCCTTCTTCAAAAAGTTAAATTATTCGCATTATTTTTCCCTCTGAATTTTTGTACGAGAAAATTGGGGAAAAAGTGGGAAAATTACGTGCGGTAAATACTGGTATTTCAAATGTGTTCGCAAGACGAGTAAAATTGGTTCGAAGATCTCATGCGGCACGCGAGTCGTTAGTTTGAAACCACTTCTCTAGAGAAACTAGTTTGAACACAAAGTTGGTTAGAATACAGCTTCAAAACCGCTGATCCAAAATATTTTATTCGTCATGATTTCTTCAGTCATTTTAAGAATTTATAGCTATATAAACAGGATTCTCCTCCGAGCGTTTCATTCACGTTTTTCACATATAAAATTATGTAAACGGTAAAAGTTGTCCTTATCGATTTTCATAGCATTTAAATTTAGTTTTAGGGCCTATTACGTTTCATGTATGCATTCAGATAAAACAAGTGCTCTTGAAATTATCAAGAATGTATTTTCAACAAGTTGAAATCCTACGCACTTGATTTTGTTTCTTACTATTGTATTAACAGCACAAATTCTTGATATTTGAAAGAAAGGAACTGAGATTAGAGTAAATGGATTTAAACAGTTGAAAATGTGATAAATGTAAACACATATATCAATCAATCTTACAAATCAGTCGACACATCTATCAATAAACATAATGTAAACACATACTAACTGTTTCATGAAAGAATTTTAGTTCGTTTTCGGTACAAATAATCCTTCTGCATTTCAAATTAGCCTGTAATTAATCAAAGACTGCCAATCCAAGGTTAATTTTGGATTAATTTTACATTTACGGCCGTCCGCTACTTTCAGATATTTGTTCCACGTAGAATTAGAGTTAAAGACTACTATCGACACCTCCAGACATCAAAAGCGCATGTTATCTGTATTATCTTTTCTACTTCCTACTCTAAATAAATTTAAGTTTGTAAGATGAACCTCATTAGCAAACGTATTGCTTCTATTTAATTACCTCTTGTCCTGATAAACTGTCCTTTTTACAATTTAACTTCACAGGTAAAAAATTAAAATTTACCTAAAAGGTTTTATGATTTGTAAAAAAAAAATTGTCAATATTTGACAATTTCAGGAGTTCAACCGCTGAAACCCGTAAAACACAAAATCTATTTCATCTATCAACTCGACTTTAACTAATAGAGATTCCAACTCCGAGCTCTAAGCAATGCAGAGTACATTTCAACACCCACAGATTGGCTTACGTGTATATAGTATGGACTTTTAAGATTAGACAGTCATAATGGGTGCTTGCTTCAGTACTTTCTCTAAATTGCAACTTCTCTCCTTATTTAAATTAAAATTTGCAAAAAGTAATAAGTTAATTAAAATAAAATATATTATAAGCCCATTGTACGTAATAAATAATGGTAACCTTTCTCTTATTTGTTAAATTTGCATAAATAAAAATGTTTTCTATGTAAATAATAGTAAACTGCTTTATTTCTTACTACGGCCTGACACATAATAACGTTTCGATTTCGATAAATTTGGAGTGAAATTTCTAGAAATTATTTTCATCACGGGTTGTGGATGCTCATCTCTTTTTTTTATTAATTTTCAACTGTGAAAAAAAGCTGTTTACATTTAAATGTATTCCCAAACAAACAAAGCGATTATTCAAATTCAAAAATTCGTAACTGAGCTCACTGGAAGTGAAAATAATATAAACTCGATCTTCATATATAACTGAAATTTCGAAATCTTTGCAACACTGTATTTGCAATAATAATAATAATAATAATAATAATAATAATAATAATAATAGTAATTGAAATACCTGCGCAAGCAGTATAAAATTCTTTCGGGGATCACCAAATTGAGACCGCTGGTTTATAGTGCTTATACAAATTAAAAAGAGTCAAATATAAACCTGTACAAATGATTAAAAAAACTACACAGATGATCATACTTTGAGTTTCATAAGTATTGGTTTTGTAATGATTATCTTTGGTTTGTTCATTCAGAAATGTTGAATGACTCTGACCTTTCTGTTTATGTAGGTTTCAGTGATCCATTTGTGATTATAGAGCTTGTGCCACGGCACTACTTTCCAAACTGTGTTAAACAAAGAACCAAAGTCCAGAAGAAGACGCTGTATCCTCTTTTTGACGAAGCATTTGAATTGTAAGTAACTTTCCTCGTATCTAATCGAGATTAGGAAACTAATATGGATAATACAAGGAGCATAAATCTGGGCTACGTTCAGCTCTTAACACACCGCTATAAATGACTTTAATAAATCCAATTATGCTGAAAGCTGCTTTCCATGGATTATTAGCAACAGAGGTGATATTAGTCTAGAAACTCACTTTTGCGTCACCGAATCACTTTTCAGATTGTTGTCTTCAAATGTTATCGCTATGTATAATTAAAAAAATTAAACAAATTCCAAATTTGGGCTTTCAGGTGCTCATACGGACAGGTGCCCATTGAATGGAGGACTACGTTATTCAAAATCTGAAGTCTCTAGGTACCATTGTTTTTTCACAGAACATACATAATCTGTGGAGAATCTGTGGAGAAACATACATATATTCACGCAGATTCTTCATTATTTAATTTATTTAAATTTAATGCAGGCCTCTAATATTTGGTGGCAATAATTTGAAAAGAACCGACATTAATAGTGAATCGTCGCAAAATGCCAAAAACGAAATTAATAGCCCTTCTGGGCAAATTGCCTCTTTGTGCCAACATTGAAGAATCTGTATGCATGTACCTTCCACTGTGAAAAAACGATGGGACCTGCAGACACGTAATCCACCACACGTATCCTCGAAGCCCAAGTTATAATTTCAAAATTTTCCGCTCCTTTTCTGTGCAAATGTAATGCATTTTTTCATTAACAAACTCAGTGGTTTGAAAGTGAAAAGTGGTAACACTGTTCAAAATAATTTGTTTTTCAGCTCACCAGACTAATGGTAATTTAAATGTAAATGTAATCTTTCAATTTTCATCAACGAAGAATTTTAATCAACTGTTTCTAAGCAAACTGTTTCCACTGACAGAAATAAAATATTTTTATTTTCCAAGCCCCAGGGTATTGTTATTTAGTAAACGTAAGCTATTTAACTTTTAGATTTAATGCGAAAGTTTACTGAGTAACAAAATGAGCAATTTAAAATCAATAAACATAGTTAACATTTTTCTACTTTTTAATATGATTGATTTAAATAAAAATGCATTAAAATCATGAGATATTTAAACAGAAATATTAAATATTTTTATGAAATTGCACTAGCTGGAGCAATTAATATTTTTACATACACTTTTTCTTTCTTATGATAACTATTTTACTCAGCTGGTCGCACAAGATTTTAAAGACAAAATATAACTAATGAAAAATATGTGTGGAAAACCTTACTTTAAATTTTTTGTGATTTTGCTGTTGAATTTTATGTATGAAAAACGTGATATTTAATAAATTATGTTAAACACATAAGATATTAATAATAAAGAGACTGATAAAAGATTTTTATGTAATCTCAGTGAGGAAACTGAGCATCGATATGGTGAACTGAGAGGAGAGGGAAAGTATCAGCGAACACTTAACACTGTATCAGGAATCCTAAAAAATGTTCTTTAAATACTTTCTAATTTTTCTCTTGAATTCGCATGTTGCGTAGGTGCTGAGAAAGCGATGCAAACTAAAAAGATAAAATATTGCTTTAGCAGGAATGACTCCAAGAGAGGGCTGCTAATCTTCGATACTCAGCGAGAACATAAAAAACCTTAACAAACTCTCTGTTGTGACATTAAAATCTGAATCAAAGGATATTAAAAATGGTACCATTATTAAAAATTCTAGGAATTTTTTTTTACGACATTTGAATGTTCCTTTATTTAGACAGATAATTTTTGCCTTTGATTGAATCTAACGTAATCCAAAATGTGCAATGTTTTTCATCATGCTGGATATACACGTATCATCTACAATATTTGTAAAAATTATAAGGTTTTTTATCTGTGTTTTTTAATTATAGCAAAACATTTGAGGTTTTTAGGAACTATCAGGTTTTTTTTTTTAAACGGAAAGCATGAAACTTATTCCTTGCCAGGAATTTCACCCAAATACATTCAGTTACTAGCTGCATATGCTGATTGCTGCACCGTAAGGACATGTGAGAGGAGTGCTTAAAGTCATGTGAGAGAAGTTCAGATTGCATCAGGTTTTTCTGTTTACTGAGAAATATAGCAGCATTTAATTTTTTTGTCATTTTCTTTTGTCAAAACATGTAGTTTTTTACATGCTCTGATATACTGGGTGTCCTAAACGCACATCAAATTTTTAAAAAATACAGAAATTCCAAAATTAACATTATTAGCAAACACTACAATGAATGATACGCTTATATTGATGCAAGTAATATATCACTAAAAATTTCATTTGCAGTTTATCATAAAATTTCTTTCTGCGTATTTCCATCTTGAAAAACAAAAAGTTTTCAAAGCTAATAGCGCACTCAAATATCAAATGATATATTATTTATAACGTTATAAAGTAGTCATTTTTTAAGCAGATTGCTATTAATATGCGATCTGGAGTTTCCGCAATTTTTGAAAGTTTGATGTGCGCGACTTTTGGATCACCTTGTGTATAGTAGTTGATTTTTTTCTAGGGATCAGCGTAGTATGTCAAGCGTTATCGAGCTCATAAATCAGATTCATAAAGTCAGTTCTCGATTTACTGAGGTAATATTAGAAAAGACGTCCATTATTTGCTCAAAGTTATAGTTTACTCCAAGATATTTTTAAAAATAACACACGCACAGGAATCTCTCAGACTAGGTATTCTAAAATTTATCAAAATTCATTTCAATGTAAACGAATAATGTTTCTATTTTCCTTTCTGTTATATTTTGAATTGAATCAATCGGAAACAGAAGATTTATACTTGTGTACTCGTTTTATTTTTAAGATTGAGCAATTAACGATATGTATATGTTCCAAATTACATACAATATAATTATTATAGTATTACTATAGTGGACAAATTAATTGGGACAAGGTGAGTTTTTCAGATAGTTTTAAGTTGGCTGGCAGCCGGCGCCAGCAGGTCTCTCAAAGCAATTTTATCTACTTTAATGTTATCTGAATGTCTGCTTTCGACTACATATAACTGCCGTAGACAATAAGTTAGGATTTTTATAGTATCTTTAAGCTTATTTCTTTGTGGAAAGGAAGCTACTTTTGAATAGATTTTAAATACGTTTTATATTCTTTCATTTAAGTGTAGTAAAAATGTATATAACGCTCGAGAGCAGAGGTTATCGCACTTAACAGTCACATACCCATGACTGTAAGATACGGCTTCCGTGCTTCCATAATCAAGCGTTTCTCGAATTCTGAACGGACAGAATAGAAAACCTGAACATTTTCTCCAGAAAGGAAGGACACATATGAAAGAAAAAGGAAACCAATTCCAAAATCTGATAGATTCCTACTCCAAAATAGCATAATTAATTCCACAAAAACTAGAAAGAGAACGTTTGTCTATTAGTAGCAATACTCATCCTCTATATGCGTGACATAGATTTCCCACTGCTGGTCTGAAGGCTAGAAAGCCAACTAAAAAGAGCTTTTGATACGTCAAATGAAGCAAAATCGATTATTGTCGGTCCAATTAAACCCATTTATTTGTTCATAGTTACACATCTAACACTGTTAGACAGAAAAAAAGTGAATCAATAGGATTTCAACATATCCAACAAATTGCAAAATACCTTCAAAAACAAATATTTTGTGATTTTTTTCAGTTACTGAAAGTCTAGTTTCTATTAATGAAATGAGGAATTCGTCGAAGTATATAGAAATTCAAAACTTAGGATTTTGCCATTAGGGACATTTGAACATGACTTGGCTCCATGCCACAATTCAAAATCTGTCAGAAGATTTTATGTCGTAAAATAAATTTAGTGTGCTAGACTGATCAGGAACTTCACCAGACTTAAATCCACACGTAAACATGTGACACATTCTCAAACATTTTAGCAAAATGGATTGTATGACAAAAGATCGCCTGATAATTAAAGCTAAAAAAGTGTGGTTCTATCATAAAGAAGTAAAACCATATATGCACAAGAATAGTAGAGTTAATGCCTAAGTGCATCCTAAAGGCCATTTCTGCTAAAGAACGACATATTTCTTGTTAATTTCATTATTTTCACTGTATATGAAAGTATTTATATAAATTATAAAAAATGGCTTTTCCCCAATTAATTTGCACACTGTACATACTAACAGTGGGCAAGAACAACTCCCAAATACGATGACATCATCTGTTTGCCATTCACTCTTCCCACTGTTGTCCAACAAATTAAATTTTTTTGAGCAAAGCTTGGCTAATCTTCAATCAATACGCCCCTCAGTTTATCGGGAGATTAATGTAATTTTACAAGAAAAACACATATAATTTATTCACATGGAATACACATACATGCATTCCGTTTGGAATGTACATATATTATTTAGGATTCTCCAGTTTCACATAAGATTTCCTTCATCCATTTAGTTTCGTTTAGAATTTTGCATGGATTGCTACTGATTCTCAACTAAGAATAGTTAATTACTTAATTTAGACAAGGAATTGAGAGTATCAAGTCTGATAAACTGTTGTTAATGCACTGCATTTGCATTTTTTCTAGTCACGTCCCTTACGAGCAGCTCAATCGTGAAGGTGCTGGACTGTGTTTTAGTGTCATGGATCACGACATGGTGACAAAAAATGATTTCGAAGGGGAGGCCTTCCTCTCTCTCTGCAACGTTGTCGAAATTTCCGGCGACGAAATGAAAGACGTCAAACCAACAGAACTCTGTTTGATGCATCCCAATGACAAGAGTGAGTAGAAATTTTTTTTTTCTTTTTAATAAATTTTTGCTTCATTAATAATGTTAGAATTTTGTTTCCAGATGTTGCATTCATTCCAAAATATGATAGGACAGAAGAATGCATGCCAAAATTGCCCACCCGAGAACTGAAATTTAGTAAAATAGGAAAGAGCATTCCGATGTGCCTCGGAGGAATTGAATGGAATTATTAAAATTTTGAAAAGTTAGATACACTTATATCCAAAACTAAAATTACAAATACAAATTTACAAAGTTACAAGTTTTGCAATAATTTAAATTTTGATGATGTTAAAATTTGATGTATAGAATATGGGCTGATTTCTCAATCTGTAAAATTCTTCTATAGAACTAGTACGTTATAAAAAAATCCGAAAATTAACTTATTTCATATAAATTATGTTTTCACAATCATTTAAACTAGGGATCCCTAATAGGGTAAGGAGAGCCCTCTGAGGTCGATGAAATTTTAAATGGGGTCCAATGATGATCAAGGAATCGAATGAGAGTCTATAGCCGAATAATACAGGGTGTTTATAAATGAATGATGTGGTTTTAAAAATTAATAATAAATCTCTGTGTTACTTTATATGGGCAAACCTTACCGTATATGCATCGACACCTGCCTAAGTTTTTGATGCATTAATCACAATTCTTAAATATGTGCACCCTTGGTCACACGACAGACGTCTACACGGTAATCAAATTCCTTCTATACTCGGTGTAATATGTCCGCCTTGACAATTTGCAGTGCATGCTTTATTCAGTCACAAACTTTCTCAAGGGACACTGGAACTAGTGGTACATAAGCTCGGTCTTTAACAAGCCCCCAAAAAAAGAAATCACATGGAGTTAAATCCGGAGACCTGGACTGCCAGGGGAAAAGACTGTTGTCTGATGTTCCAGCTTGTCCAAATCAGCGTTGGTGAAGAACACGATTAAAACTCTCGTACATACCTGGGAAAATGGGGCAAAGCACCGTCCAGTTGCAAAGTTAATCATCATAAATCGTGTTCAGCTGATGTAACAACCAAGTTTCTAATGTATTTAGAAATGAGTCAAAGATCATACTATCTTTTGTTGAAGAAAAATGAATCATGCACTTTCTTGCGGGACACCGAACAGAAAAAGTGCTCAAAAGTCACGCTGAACTGAAACCACAGATCTGGACACATCAAAACGGAGCACACAAAACAAGCGTTTCTTGTTGCGATACCATGTTGGAAACTGACGCTGAGACTGCGCTGTAATCATGAAAAGCAAACAGCAGGTAGCACAGGAGAAATTTGGACAATTTTCAATGCTTATTGTGTAGGTTTTATCACAGGTAAGATAATATATAGATTTATTATTAATTTTTAAATTCGCATCATTCGTGTATAAATACCATGTACTGGTTTATTTGACATAAAGCTATAACATGTAGTAAGGAATACATCATATAAAATATATATGTTAGCGTGAAAGACCGAGAATGTCAGCACATACCAAATATGTAGGTGAAAGACCGAATATTTGGTTTATTCTTATATATTCGGACCATACCAGTGAATGTCAATCATATATTCGGAATAAATATATTTTTTAGGATTTTCAATTATATATTCGGAATTATTCTTACATATTCGGACCATACCAGACCAGCGAATTGTCAACACATACCAAATATGTCAGTGAAAGACCGAATATTTGGTTTATTCTTATATATTCGGACCATCGCCGGTGTATGTGTACAAGCCCAGATGTGGTCTGCTAGAGGTTGAAACTTAACTAAATTCTGAACTGGTGTTGTAAGCATCGCGCGTTTCACATTCGTAGAATAAAATAAAAAATAATATTCGCAATAACAAGGCTAAAACTCGACAGATTTCGTTCAGTGAGGTTTCGTAGCATTCTGACGTAATTTATGTGCATTTAAAATTTTAAATAAGACGTTCCGTTTCAGTGTATCGAGCATAATATACGGTGGGCTAGCAGTGATACTTCAATCCTGCATCATACTTGATATGTTGGACGCACGGAGAGAAATTGAAGCGAATCATATATGATACGCTTTAAGAGAAATCTAGCTGGCACATAAAAATGACAGCTAAAGTTCTCTTAAGACCTCTCTGCTGCAATCGCAGCCCTTATTTCCAGGCAGAGATGCGTTGAAAAGAAATCTATTTTTGCCAGGCTACCAGGAGTATATACGGCCAGCGACTAACATATCACAATTTACTGTCTGCGACCAGTATATGACAGCATCGAACAAAGTCAAGCAAATCGTCATATCTCTTGAAATAAGTTGCATAAATATGTCAAGTTCCAGAAAGCGAATAACACGGTTTTGTTGATGATAGAATGTTTGACAAACCTCATAGATACCAATTTATGTTGGCATACCATTTAGATAGATTATGTTCACCAATTTAAAGCTCAAAGTAATGCAAGCACGCGCGCTACTTTACACGTGATCTTGTTCCGGAGGGAAGGATTGCGAGTAAATGCAATATGCTGAAGTGTTGCATCTGAAGTTTTGAACGCGCATTTACTAATTTTCCCTGAAGGTTTCGTGATTACTGTGATTGAGAAATCCTATAATTTTCATCGTAAGCGATAAGCAATATTCAATAATTGTAACAGATTATGTAATAAAACTATGATTAATAACTTTAAATGACAAAAGTACACCTTTTCCTGTTACTATAAATAATACCGGAGTCTCTTCTTATTAAATAACAAATATGGTCAAAGAGCACAGATTTTCATAATGCTCTAAATATATTTCATTTTTCCTTTTCAGATGAAATCCTGTTAGCTCTAGCAGCAAGAAGTTGGGATAAAGACGCTCAGGATTTTGTCAAGAATTTGAAGCACAGGCGGTAAAAATATGCTTATGATGCTAGGCTTTAAATTATGAACATTTATTGATTATAAGGATAAATTTCATATGGAAGGAGAGGTGAAGATTCTAGTCAATGCATAAAAAATAACATCCCATTTATACATCCTGAAGAGGGAACATCTATTTCTGTCGAAATTCCAGTATTTTGAGCACATCGTTTCCTTGTATTTACCTGTAAATATCACCTGCACCATACCTCATGTATGACATCTTTACGTTCGTCCGAGTGCTCTGTGTAGCACTCAAAATATGTGCTGAAATGTGTGCTAGTCATTCATAAAGTTATTCAGTAAATTATCTCTCAAAAATAAGCTTTTAATTTTAAAACAGTGTTAGTAAACATAAAGGACGACTCATAAATGCTGCATATTAGTAAATACTATTCAACGTAACTATAAAAAATAATATAATGGATAGAAATCACTGAGTGCCAAAATATATAATCATCTTTTTTATAAAAAGTATTATTATAAAAATTTATCTTTTGTTCCCTTTTTCCGGAAGATTTTATTATTACATTGTTTTTTTTATTCACTAAATATAGCTATCACGTTATTCAAGTATTGTGAGAGATGCAGTTTTAAGTTAAAGATTTATTTTCTCTCAATATGTATGTTAGTTTGATAGCATTAATCTAATTATTGGATAATTTGGAATTAAAGTGACTACAGTTTTCATTCAAAAACTCCAAAATTTAATAGGTAATTATTTGCATACTGATAATTATGAGTTTACTATAGTTATAAGTTAGATAATAAGCAATTTAAAAAATGAGCATGTATTTATTTTTTTGTTCATTTACAAATTTTCAAGTATGAGCATTAGATATCAGATTTAGTTATTCTACTCTCTTTAGTAAAATAACCATGAGAATATTGTTATGTCACTAAATTGTGATTCTACGGTCTGAAGATACATTTGTATTTTTTAAAATTTAACAAAGCTTTTTAGTTAAACCTTTAAAGCTTTGGGCAAAACCATTCTATTAAATGCTTGTGGTGAATAGGTAAATTTAGCTGAAATGATAGTAACAGCTCTAGGCAAACTATTATTTTGATCTCGCACTATTTAGGAAGCTGTATTGTTAAAACCAAATATTAAAATCAACTTTTCCAATTCAATTTTGCTATTTTTACATAAAAGTAATTTTAATTACGATACGCATCTTGGTTTTTAATAAATGGGTAGTTTCCAGCCCGTAACACTCCAAGTTCGTTTTAACAGCTCATATCCATAGACAGAGCAGTACTTTTATTTCAGAGAGATGCATTATAGTGAAAATTCGTGAAACTCTCGAGGATGTGGGTTTGTACAGTTCCACAAGATATTTCGTAAACAATGATAAATATTAGCCGAGGACTTTGCATGCCAGAAAGGAAATAATGATCGATCTAATTACTATGTAACTAAAAAAATATATTACACATTTTTAAACTGAAATGTATTTTTATGAACCAAAGAGATTTTGGATTCCAATTTAACACCGTTAATTTAGGTTAAATGTATCATGTAATTCGACAACAATTTTACACTTACACAAGTTTTCTATATAATTATCACGTTTTTCAAAAAGAGATATTCGAGAACGTTTGTCGGCATTAAAAAGATATGGAACACAACTTAATGTAACATTTTGTCCAAAAATATTCAAATATTTGTAAGATAATTAACTTGCATTCATAAATATCATATTCATTAACTAGACAATTCAAATATTTAAAAAATTATGTGTTTACTTCTTTTATTTCTTTTAATATTTTTTCAGATATCATATGCATTAGATATCAGATTTAATCATAATTTGAAGTTATGCAAAGTTCTGTTTTCAAGGTTGGATTTTGGATTAGAATTACTCTGTGACGTCGTTTCTTATAAAAATTCTAAGGGGATGTAACTTAAAAATTCTTATATGTAAATGTACCTTAACAAACGTAATAGAAATTACGAAATAACAGGAAAACAATCTTCGAAGTAAGTGGATTTATTGCATGTTCGTTCAAAAATTTTATTTTCATAAAATCTTAAGACAACCCACTAAAATCTGCGAAAATATTCTCGAAAATGCGCTGTGAAAATATTTACCCTTACCTATTGCTAAACGATGAGCGACAAATATGAGAACATGCGGTCTTGAATTTGTAAAATGAGAACTAATCGGATAATTTTTAGTGGATGTAACCGCTTACTTTAATGAACTGGATATGCGTTATTAATGTCAAAAGCAGCCAATAAATATTTTAATAAATGTAGAATTTGAAATTTCAGTATTCTGAATCTAAAAGAAATAACAAGATTCACTCTAAATTTCTATCTGGAAGTCATTGTAAACATTACACATAAAAATACGACACTGAGTACTAGTTTAATTATAGACTTTTGAAAAGACATACCAAGAGTTTAGAGAACATAAATTCCATTTCAATATATTTGATACTTAACTTTCAATTGGCATTATACTAACGAACAACAGCAGTCAAATTACAAGTGCAAAGATATTTCAGACTTAAATGGTAATTTTATCATACGCAAGAATACTCTAAGTTATACCATGCTCAATAATACTTATTAAATTCTGTATACAATTATTAGCATATTTTTATAGGGCTGTTGCGAATGTTTATTGGACTCTGCTAGCTAGAAAATTTGATGGGTTGTACGATCAGACTCTGTGGTTCAGTTGTATCTAGAGTAATCTCTATCCGCATGATATTTAAAAACATAGGAAATCAATTTTGATTTATTCAGTTATACAAAATTTTGCTTTATTTAAATAAATTATCTTTTGTTGAAAACTGCAGTCACGATAATTCCAAAATAAATTGTTAGTCAGCAAAATTTCAAAATAATAGTTGCTAAGAATTGTATTCGGTACGTTTCCGTTATGAACCTACCACGCATTTTGGCACAGCGAAACCAAACATAACACAATCTGGGGACTATGTGTGTATGTGTGTACGTGTAAAAAATAAAAAGTAAACACACACACATATTATTACAGTAGTGCCGCCAAAATGAGTGGCAGGTGTATAATGGAAAAGTACCTTGTATTCAAACGTTTGGTAATTCTAGAACGTATTCTAGTTATTGAATATGCATTTATAATAACTGCGAAATGCTGCCATTCTAAGATATTATCAATTTCAAAATCTGCTGTAGCATGGTTTATTTAGAACTGACTAAAACATAATTTTGTCTATTAAATATTTTTCAGCATACGTCCCTAGGGATTTAACTGCTGCTAATAAACCTTACGCAGAAGATATTTATTTGCTGAATATAGAATGATTTATTTCTAAACAGTCGGTGTTTTCACTATAATATTAAGCAAACTATCACATTGTATTGAAGTGTTTAAAGATTGCGAAAGTTTTAGGAAATTGATTGTTAAAAATATGTATGTCAATTAAAAATGTTGCCTAAAATTTCGTGTACGCTGTTCCAATAGTGCATGAGAACGATTTAAAGATCAATTAACATTCTTTTTAATTCGCTAAATGTCTCTTGGTGTCCTCACAAATTTCCTTGGAAAATAGAAACTTAAAAGTACCTACATTACAAGAATACTTTTATATCATTCACTGACTCTACAAGGTACTTTATCCTTTACCTTACAGATAATAAAACAGACGTGATCTTAAGGGATTCCATAAAAGTTGAATAAATCTTGAAATTATTCCATGAATGTCGGAGCACAAAGCTTGTTTTGGCCTAATGCCAAAATCCATCGTAATGTTTCTAGCTCTAATTCGTTTTGAAACTTCCGCAGAGGCTTTTGTATCTTTCGGTTCAAGACCCATAACGTTCTAAATTTAAAAAGTAGTAACAGGATTTAAATCATGAAAGAAGATGCGTTTAGAGAAATGACATATTTAATGAAATGGCCTTCTTACCCTGAAAGGGAATCCGAAAGGAATTATTTGCTTGGTATGTTTTGACAAATAGCGATTCAACTAATGGAAGATTGTTTTAATTTTAATGAACAAAATTAAATATCAGCGCGTAATTTTTGAATAAAATAACCGAAAACTGTTTTCATCTTTGCTTTAGCAAAAATATATGCTGCTGCATTCTCACTGCGTATTTCTTATTCTGAGAATTTTATTTAATTTTCAGTATTAATGCATTTGAGCTTAATAATAAAACTAAAACGGTTTTCATGGTCACATGAGAGTATATCATTTTTCTGATCTTTTACCGATAATGAAAATTTCCCAGAATCTATTTCTGAATTTAAAAGAATATTTTAATTTTATATTAACAAGAAACAAAAAAGGAAATGGAACCATTTCTGGCATAATTCTATGATAATATGCTAATTAAAATATTTAATATGCAAATTTATAATACCTTTAAGCGGTACAAAATTTTATTGCTCCTAAAATATTACAAAATGGAACTTACGGCCTTTAAAATATTTAGAAACCTATACCAAATTTTAAGTTCCCTGAGCAGTAAACATGAAAATAATATTTTTAAAATCTTTACTCAATATGCGATCTAATATCAAAGTTTTAGTTAAAAAATTGCAGTATCTTGTTATTATAGGAAGGACGTTTAAATAGGCAAATCCCGTGAATCGTGGAAAAAATTCGAGATAAGGAAAAAAGCAGAATCTTCTAATGTTTTTGGTCATCCGAAATTTTATTTCTCAATATTAATCTAAAACTTACCAAACATTAAGTTCTAAAATTTTGAAAGATTTTTTATAAGTTCAGTAGAAGCCTACAATTGTTGCAATTTCTCTAGAATCCTTTAAATCCTTTGCTTTGGTTTGAAAGGTCTGTGAAGAATCTTGAATTTTTTATTTTTATGTAGATTACATTGATTAATAATTATATAGAGCAGGGGATTTTAAGTGGTACGCAAGAGAAAAATAAGCGGTACGCAAAGAAGCAAAGTATTTTTAACTTCTAAATTCAAAAATTAAAACCCCAACATCCTGACTGAGCTTTTTCTCTAACGCTCGTGACTCTAACACTCTGAGCTGTGTTGAAGAGTGGTGGTGGTAGTAGTACTTTGTAGTGGTGGTACTAAAGTTTCCAATTTTTCTTTAGATGGTACGCGTTAGTCAAAAGGTTGAGAACCGAGAAAATGAACTTCACAGTTCAGCAGTTTCAGTTATTTGTTTCATTTCTATCTTCTTGATAAATGAAGGCATATTTTTGAAACTGTGTACTTAATTTAGGTTTTACTTACACGTATATAACAAGTTTTGTTTAGATTAAACATTTTTAATATAAAATTCGGGCTTTTTTATCTATTTATACAACAAGACATTTGAGAGATTCGATGTTAGATTTGGGACCTCTTTTAAGATGGCGGACTCGAAAAAATTTAGGATTCGTTCCACCGCTGATAATAATAATCAATTTGTTCATAATCACTGATTTATCTTTCGTATTTTCCACAAATGAATGTGAATTTTATAAATTAATACAGTGCAAGCTTTACCTCAGCTCTCAGTTTCATATAAATATCAACAAAAAATTTTTGCACATATTTACGGTATTATTACTTGTTAGATGAAGCTATATATTAAATAAAACATTTTAAATCTAGAAACCTGAATTCCTTAATAATTATATATTTGCATTTACTATAGTTTCACACGCAGATATTCACGGAAAACGGTTCAAAATGAACTGTATGTTTTTATTTTATGTAAGATTAAATGAAAAATTTATTCTTTTCTTATAATATTAAAATAACACAGAGTTTATAGAAATCATCGAAAGAAATAGAGCTGTTCTTATGCACTTTAAGTGTTTCTCATATTTGCATACCTCATAAAGAAAATATAAAAAATACAAATTTTAGAAAACATTTTCTTTAATTTTCATGGTATAATTCTATATCTGGTTTAATCAATAAATATTTGAAAAGCGTAAAAATGTAAAATGTGTAAAACAAAAATCTTTAAGAAAATGAGCAATTTTAAGTGTACAAGATACGTGCATTTTTGCTAAAAAATTCTGTCATGATCTGTTTTCAGATTTTGATTTTAAACATGAGCCTCATTAATTCATGCAACAAATTTCTGAACCAGAGCTTTAAACGTTATAAAATCCTTTACATTTATTTCATTCATTTATGCATCGATTCATTTATATTGCATCGCTGGGCCTTTTCAAAAAATATCTTTTATTGGATAGTTAAGATATTTTTAAGTATAAAATGTTAAGTCATACAATTAAAAATAATGATTTATTGCTTCACAAGATTTCACACGATGACTTTAAGTATTTTAAATGTGCTAAAGATATTAAAAGTTTTAACATTTTTGCACAAACTGTATTTTTTACTTTTGAAGATTTCTGTGATTCTGAGTTACAGTTAACGTCAAATTAAATAGGCAATATATCAAAACATCACTTTCCGACATTCCAATGAGGGATAACAAAAATTTCCATTTGGAATCAATACAAGAAACATTATACATGAAAACATCTTTCACGAGTAATTTATCTGTGTTGAGCATGCATTTTTACAAGAGTTTAACTAATACTGCTTATTATATTAAATACTGTACCTTATAATTTGTAGAATTAAATTTAATAAAACTTAAGGCATTTTTAAAAGAAAAGCGTATGTACTTTTGTTTTTGAATGATATGTATCCCTGAATATTATTAAGAAAATAGGTAATCTATAAATATTTTTAGTTTTCTTATATATTTTTATTGATTAACTCTATTAACAGGAATAAAGAAAGCAAAGGCGGATGTTTCACAATGTTAATAAGAGATAAGCACTGTGATTCGGATTAGGAAGTTCAAGAATAACGGGTAAATATGTGAGAAATGATACCTTCATATGATAAATAGTGGATGTTGTAACATATTAATTTATGGTATAAGCTGTTAGTCACAAATGAATGCCGAATTGAGGTCATTTCTTGTTCAAGCTTAAGTTCTCCTGTACACGTTTTTTGCAATTTAAAAAGTTTTTAATGCATTGGGAGATTCGGTATATCACCCTGCCCAAGGTACCATCTAGGGGCCCAGAAATGGTCCTACAGCCTCCCATTTTAAAGAAAGCTACAAAATTCGCTGGAGCCCCTAAACGGAGACTACGTCTAGTGATATTTCGCCTATTGTGGAGCGGCTTAGCGACCAATCAATGCTTTCACCCGAAAATGGATCCAAATATCAACAGCACAGGTCAGAATGCATTGTGACTTTATGATATGATGCTTTTTTTCCACCGCACACACCTTGGTTAGCCAAACATAGGTTATTTACCATTTTTAAATATATCGAGGCATCAGTGATACAATATTAACAACTCTGACTAGCGAGATAGAGATTGCCAACCGAAATGCCACCGAATCTCACCCAACTTCAGAAATCTGTATTTCAGTTAGTTTGTAAAATAACGTCGTTGGGAGATAAATTTAAAACATAAGAGGCTCATATTTTTCCTTCTAGTTACAATTTTGTATCTCTGACGGCGCTCCATCTGCAGTAGAACACAAAATAGCTCATGTGAATACTGATCAAGCCAATGTCAATGCCTGTAAGTTTTGTCCAAATGGTAATTAATTCAGTTTAGAATTTTGCTTCCCTTAAAATTGTTTGGGATGCTCGTTTTACGGCAAAAGTTTAGCGTCTCATTTTTTCCCCTGAAAACAACTTGATTTTTATAAAGCGCTGAGAGAAGGAGCGCAAAGATTGTATGGACAGTGTGAAGCAACGTTTCTGTAGGGATTATAACTGCAGTAAAATCCTTTAGAAAATTTTTCAGCTTAAGATATTTATTTCGCAAAGTTCCATATATTTATTGATTTCGCTAATGTCAAATTTTCTAGCACAAAGCGTTTCATCTTTTGAGATTTTTCCACTTAGGAAGTTGGAATTAATCTTTCTGGCAACTGTCTTCTCTCTCAAAAACAAATTTTTTCCCTTATTTTTAAAACGAAATGTGTACTGAATGCACTTATTTTGCCAATTTGAACTAGAAACGTAAGCTATCAGTCTTGTTTTAAGTATAGTGATGGCATTTTGTTATTGATTCTTTTCAATGCCTCTCGATTGGCCACGTACCACTTGCTATCATCATAATGGTTAGATAGATCTCTAGGTGAATTAGCCATTTAAAAAGGTGGTGAGAAAGGCTGCTAAGTTACGGTCTATTTTTCATTTATCTTTCTTTTACAGTTTGTACATACAATGGTAAAGAAAATAGCTTAGAACAGGAAAAAAAACCACCAGTCCACTTTTTTCTAATTCTTTTAAAATAATAGCGTCAATTACTTAGAAATTGGATTTTTTTTTCAAAATTAAGGATGAACATCTTTTGATTAATGAAAGATCTTTAGAAACAACATTAAAAATTTGTAAAAGGATGCAAGTAATTGTACTCTATTTTGCATATTTAAATAAAAAATAACAAACTAAGTTCGAAATAAATTCCATTGAAAATAAAATTTAAAGAATTATATTTTAAAATAAGGCTTTAAAATTAAAAATTAAATTTAGTATAAAATATTTTAATTTATTTAATACTAAACGATTGAAATTTTAAATAGTTAGCCCCAGGGTTATAAAGGAAGTACTATTTTAATTACATTACCATACACTCTAAACTCACTGAAAGGCATTGTATGTAAATGTTTAAAAAATTGTATAAATATATGTATTTGAAGGTTTCAGAATGTTTAGACATAAGATAGTTTCAAAACATTAGGGCTTCAGATCGTTTAAAATATTAGAAGATGTCAAAATGTTTAGACTTTTGGATCAATCTAGATACGCAGAGTAATTTTTCAACATTTTCACTGCCAAAAAATAAAATTATAAAATAACAGAATAAAGGTTTACCTTTCATTTCAGTCTACTATTTCCAAATTCGTACATATAATTTATAAAAAAATGGAAATATTATTCATTTTTCAAAACTACTTTTTATCTCCTACAATACGCTGGCTGCATAAATTTACCTAAAATTGCAACTGTTTTGGTTGTGAATATTTTAAGAACTAATGATTAGAAATGCACTTTATTTCAATAATTAATTTCCGAATTTTCTTGAAGGAAAAACACCGGGATCTGTGCTTTGAGTGGGTGACTACTCACGTGTAAGGATCCGGCCAATCTACTTTCACCTTTAGTTTTATTTACATCACAGCTTCAACGGCTCTTCGACTAATTTTCCAAATTACGTACTTAAGTACTTGTTTTTGTTTCTCCTCTATGGCATGGAGATTTTCGCCTTAGAAACTCAATAACCAACGCCTAAGGGCACACCTTCAAGTCAGGCATTAAAAAAAAGCGGCGCTGCTAAAGCCAACAAGATCAAAGATCAAAGAAGGAAAATAAAAGCTCATATGACAAGTTCTTTTTAAATTTTAATAAGTTTCTTCCCTCTAGGGAATAGCTTTTCTCGACTGATAAATTTATGATACACATAACTCTATTAAATTCATATATTTAAAAGTTAAGTTCAACTTTGAATGTTCAAAATGTATTTCCAAACTATTTATTAAAATTGGTCTATTTATAAATTAATATAAATCATTACCCGAATATTTTCCTAATTTTTTTCGGAAATTGTCAAGATGAGTTGCTTGAAATTATCACAAGATTTTGATTTAATATTATAAAATTAATTCTTTATTTTATTTTATTTTACGTTAAGTTTCGTTTTTATAAAATTCGATTTTCTTTTGCTTATGGACTTTTCTCTTATTGTTTTGCCTTTATAATGTATTTTTGCGTATTAATTTATTTATTCGTTTTGTTTTTTATTCTTTTCATTTGTATTTAGGAATCACACATCAAATTGCAGATATCCTGATTTTGAGAAGATAAGATTTCATGGAATAGTTAATCCACAATGTGGTGATTTTGGATCAAAAACAATTCGGAAAGCGTGGATTAAACTAATGATATTTGCGTGAAGAAACACTTCCATTTTATATTAATTTATTTCTAATATATTCCACGCTTTTATTAAATTACAGCTTAACACTAAGGATCTTTCAAATTTAACAGTGGGAATTAAGTCTCTTTCCTAGTCTTTAGCAAGCTTAAAGTCTAACAGTCTGCGCTTAATATTTACACCAAGAGACATTTAGAAATTAAAAGGGCTGATATTTCTTTATTAGCTAGCATAAACTAGTGACATTTTTTTCTTTCATTTACTTTCTTGCCTAATCACATAGCTACTAATTTTCCAGTAATATTTCAAGCTTCCTAACAGCATTGCCAAATATAGAATACGTATATTTTATATGTGTTGTAAAAATTTATTATTTTAACTATTATTACCTTATATACTTCGATTATGCTTTTATTATTACTATGAAAAATTTTTAATAGTGCCAGTTTTGGGTGAAATGTAAGCTTATGCACTATTACAGCATGCAATATTTTCTGAATACTGACAATTTTTTTTCAAGAACCGGTACCTTACACAGAAATACAATTTCCTTAATCAATCTATAGAATGGTATCTTGTAAATCATGTTTAATTATATCAGCATCGGTTGAAAACGTTAGGAATACTGTCTAGGGAATCTTGCTTACTTATCTATCATCGTTAATTGAATGGCTTTTGCATCGACCCTTAAGCATATCTGTATCATAATTTACTAACCATTTTCGGTGTACTACCTCGTTTCTGAAGTATGTTTCGTTCAGTGTTCAACGTTGCAAAAATACTATATGTCTTTTGAATATAATCCCTAGACACTGAATAAAACAGTGAAGATGGGAAACAATTGTTTTAATACCCATTGATATATTTTTCATTAAAGATTTTTTATACAACCCATTTTTTTACCGTCGATCTAGACTGAGATTCCTTACAAATGCATTAAAACCTAATGTTTCTCAACAGATGAACTTTTAAAATCTTCAAGCTTCAACGTTGTGCTCAAATGCAACGTTTTGCTCAAATGTTCTACTCAAAACTGGCGCTATTTCATTTGTTGATTTCATATCCAATTTGCCTCAAAATTTAAATGCAAATTTATAATTTTCATTTGTTTTAACAATAAGAAATATTGGTAAAATAATCTAAAGGAAGTAAGTACTTGTTTAAGATAATTTCATATGAAATCCAAATCAGCAACTGCTAAAAATGTGCGCTCTTCGACTATTGTGATCTAATTTAAATGTATAACTGTGTGCTTCCATTAAGATATATAATATATAGCGCAGTAAAAACCAGATTATTATTTTTCATGACACCTACCTCTATAAACTGTTGTAACTAGCTCCTTCTAACTACACAAATTACAATTTCAGCAACCACTGGAATTGCTTAAAAATAGGAAAATTGTGAATTGTAAGCGAGGTAACTGGAACATGAAAGTATTTTATATGAACATTTAAAGAGAAATGCAAATATTAAAACTGATTTAATATAAAGGCAATTCGAAGGAATATAGTCTTGATATTTAATTAGATTCTCTTCCTTTAATTCGAAGGTTGTAGATATGAGATATTTGTAATGAATAAAAACAAAATATATATTTTATTTGAGATAAAAATTATATGTTTCTCCATCTGGTATCAGTGTCAGAGACTTCAAAGCAATATAAGAGACGATCTAAATGCTTGTTTAATTTTACAGGAATAATTTATATGCATATAATATCCAAAGCTTAAATAATCATCAATAACCCCGTTGTTTTTCTAAAGACAGTACGTCAAAATTATTCATAATGCTCTAGAAACTTTCCTCAGTAATTCATCTATTTCTAGACTGTCAAAATGAATGTCATGGCGCTCATCCGTAAGTTTTTTTTACGCGTGATGATGACTTTGCGCAGTTAGTAGGGCAGCCAGTCCAATGATATATTAGCTCATCAGCCATTTAAGCCTCGTTTGTGGATTTACTATTTCATAACCGCTTGAAAGTATGGCTCCAGGTCCTGTCTTTATCAAAAAAGAGAAGTTTGGAAGATCAGAAGAGAAATTAGGAATATTAAATGGTCTGATTTTTAAGAAAAATTCAAGTGGTATCAGATTAAAAAATTTGCTGATTGTAGAGCTTGAACCAGATGTACTTCTATAGCTCCATTAATTCATGCAGGCTAATTTTAGTGTAACCTTTGCAAATAAGATCCATTTGTGGAGGTTTTAACTATCATTAACAATAGACCATTCTTCCGAGGAAATGCAAAGACATTGGCGAAAATTTAAAGGGCTACATAACCAAATTTAGTACGGAAGATTATTAATCAAGTACTTAAATTATTTCTGTGAAATTAAGAGGAGCTTTTTTGCTTACTTATTTCAAGTGTAATGTTAACAATTATTACATGATCGTTGTTAAGATTTTGCTGATAGTTTCCCCTTAAGTTTATGGGGAAATAAAAGAAATACCTTAAGTACTTTGCCATGTGGTCTCTGTTAAAGTAGGAAAAATTCTAATTATAAACTACATAATTTACTTTGTTCATTTCTAACGCCTTTCTAGAGGATATTTCAAATCTATTTGCCTTAAGGCTCAGTTACGGTTACTAATAGATGAACTTTTATTGAAAACAGTTATATTTCCTATACATAATAGATATTCAAAGCTTGTTCTAGATTAATTTGCTAGAAGTTGAATTATTGTCCATTCAACTGCGTACACAGTGCGTCTACTAAGTTTTAGGATTGAGTTCTCTGAAAATCGAAAGTTGAAGAAACACAGAACTATTCTTACTTATTAACATTCAATATACAATACAATTCTGATAAATCTATAAAATATCTGGCGTGTTCGTATATCATTTCCTTGTAGAATTCATCATTTGAAGTATTATTCTTGGTTCCAGTATTCTGAATCTTTTCACTGGTATTAAAATATTTGAGGTGAGACTTCACATTAGGAAAAAGAAAGTAACAAGCAGTTGCCAAATCTAGTGGATCAGGATGCTCTCATCTACTTGAAACAGCAAAGGATGACCACTCCTGGGTTCATCCTCAACATTTTAGCATCCATCATGAAATTGTCAACAGCTAAGAAAAACATTCGATTATGTCAATGCTTGATCGATATATGTTTTATTACGAAGCGTTTCAGCTCTTCTCAGCTTTCAAATAAATGGCAGCAGATGTTTATTGCATCAAAACAAACGATTGACTGCGTTCTATACAAAAACAAACATTTTAGGTAAAGCAAGTTAAGATTTCATAATAATATATGTTGTCAATTGTCGTTTAGCAGCTCTGCTGGATATTATTCATAAAATGTAGTCCCAAGACTTTGTAGACGCATTTTGTATTAATTTAATATTATTTCAGTTCTTAGGCATAGTAATACTTTACAGAATTATAGAAATTAAAATATAATATTTTAACGTCAGTTCATTAGCCCGAGGAGCAGTTACACTTTTCTATCTAATTAACTAATAATAACAAACCTTCTGCTCTGCACAAAAGTCCTTCCATGCAATCAGCTTAGCACAAGCTTTATAAAGCTCTATTGGTAAACGAGCTTGCCCAAATAATGCTGTGGCTTAAATGTTTCGATTTTTCCATAATGATTATATTTACTGCATTTAAAGCATCTATTTAAAGAAATGTATGATATGCATAGAATATATAAATATACATTACATATATATATATATACATGAATATATACCGAAGTGTCCGTTTTTATATGATGTTATAACTCTTGGTATCGTTCGTCATCTGCACAATATCCTCAAGAACATTTCCGTATCTCTTAACTGTTTAATTAGTTAATTTCATTAACCTTTTTGTTAATTCTTACATGAAAAGACTAGCTATAGTTGGATATCTCTTGTCGAAAGCCTGCCCCTCCCATCTATAGGTATAAAGCAAAAGATCTTTTGCAGTTTAAACAGAGTTTTTGCCTTTTCTAAAGCTTTTGCAAAATATCGCTACACTGTACAATCGCTGTTTTGTTACGCAAATATTATATCAGAAGAAAATGTTAATTGTACAGAGCTTACGAATAACCACTCTTTAATTTTACATTAACAATAATAAGCTTTATAGGTACATAAACAAAATTCAATTGTATATTAGGTTACGCAATTTTATTACATTATTTAAAAGTTAATATATGAAATAATTTTCACAAAATGATTCCCTCGGTGTCCTGGGGTTCCATGCTATTCCTCTAAGGGCTCCGCCAACCGAAATCAAAAATTTAAAACATGTTTTAATACCAAGCGACCTATAAAATTAATCGCCTGAACTGATTTATTATTTTTTTTTCATTTCCGTTGTTATTTTTACTTAAAATAATAAAAAATAAATCTGTTTTTATGAGCAAGATTATAATGAAGTGATGCTTTTCAATGTTTCGCATAAATGCATACAATATTGGTATATTTTCGATTTTTTTTAACATTCGGGATTTTAAAAATGGTAGGGATTCCTCCAAAAATATTTTTAAGACACGTGAGAGTTATCTGCCTAAGGAAAGGGATGCCTTCGTGGAGTCCTTTTTAAAATAACACACTCGTTTCCACACTACACATCAGGAAAGCTATAAAAATCTTAAATCGTTGCACGATTTAAAATCAAATCAAACTACCGTTAAACAGCGATCTTACCAATCTTACCGATGGTGGGCTTAGGAAATCCTGGAGTTGACAAATTTAGAAGATTACACTATTTTATATTAAAACATTTTTCACAAGAGATAACCAACTGTTATGAGAAATTTAATTCTGGAGTATTAAATATTTCTAGAAACTTCATGCTTTAATAAGGTATCCAAAAACCTTATTTTAGTAGGAAAGGTGTAAGAATTTCTTAGAACAGTCACGAAAACAGACTCCATAGCAAATTAAATTTATGTTTTTACTCATATTAAATTTAACTAAAAGTTGTAACTCAACTGTGATAACATAAAATAAACTTGAATGATCATTATCATTCAAGTTAGTTACTATAACAGTTAAGAGATCATTCTCAGAAAAGTGTTTTTTGTATGTGTTGGATAGTCCGCTAGGCAAAACCAAGATGGACATATCATTGTCTTTCGACCCTTACCTGTTCCTTCCAGTTGTTTTCCCTCCTTGCCTGAAAATTTTCTATACGATGCAACCAGAAACCAGATAAAAGATATTTTCAAATTCTTGGAATGAAATGCTTATTTTCTTATCTATGAACAAAATCCTCTCATTGGACAATCACCTGTTATTCGATAACGATAGTTTAAGTTACAGCTCATTAATTAACTCTATTTGATTTGTTTTCTAAAGAGCTCATTTGAGATTTCCTAATAATTGAGCCACTTAAAGTTCCATGTATTTAGGTTTGGGAAAAGTAAAAATACAAAGTTCATTTTTAAAGACCGTTCGTATTTACTAATAAGAAACTTGAATTTTATTAAATAAACATATTTAAAAATGTTTCTTTCAAAGAAAATATTTTATCCAATTAATTTGAAAATAATTTTTGCATAATATATTTTTTGATGTTTCTAAGCAATAATAAGTTAAATTATACTAATATTTCTTATACATTTCTACTTATTATATTAATATTTCTTACAAAATAATAATTTAAATTATAATTGATTAATTCTGTAACTTATTTCCTGAAAAGTCTAAGTTTTATAGTTTAGTTGTAGAGATATATATTTATTTTTAATAACCAGTTTTATTTAATTTGCTATTCTTTCCTATAAGCCTTCATTTCCCTAAATTGTCAGTGCCAGAATATTTAAATTTGATAGCGCGCGTGAAGGAATGATAATTCTACGTTGAAGAAAGAGTTTAAAAATCGAGTTTCGGTAGGAAAGAGGAAGAGTTAGGCTACTGCCGTCACCTCTGCTGTTTATGCATTTGCTCCCAGAGTTATTTCTGGTTCTCGTGGCTTAATTGCATTTACTTGTTGCCATTAGTTTTCGACAGGAGTTTAAGAAACGGGATTTAACTGAGTCCTGTAGTTTAGTTCTATCACTTTTTCATATCTTCAAATTTTTAGTTTCGTTATCTGATTTCAGTTACCGTCCCTAGAAGAGGCGTAGTTTGTTAGCGTCGTGTTAACGCATTGTAAATTTTAAAGAGTTAATAAAGGGTATTTTTAACCCTTCTTCTGTGAAGTTACTACTATTCCAGTTTTCACAAAACAAAAGTGAATCTGGTGGACTCTACAGAGTAAACATAATTAAGCATAAAGATCTTAAACTGAAACTTCTCTTTCTAAGGAAGTAGTTTATGTAGCTTTCACTATTACCTAAAGTTTCAAATTTTGAGATGATGGCTTTTGATAGTTAGTTGGCTTAGTTTCAGCATTTTATTCTACATATTAATTTTCTTAACTGATTTTATATTGTACTACATTCTATAATTTTAAAATAGATACTTCGAGGTCTCTCCGACCCCTCCTTTGCCAATATAGAAGGTTATCATAGTACAGCACTTATTTTTTCCACCTCATTTGAGACTGTAATTCATGTCAGCCTTCATTTATGAGCTTTTCATTAAGCGAATCACATCAAAGGAAAATGAAGTAGCAAAAAAGAATTAGGAAACTCGATCATCTCCTGCAGCCGTCTTTACCATGGTTATCCAGGTAGATAACGTATAGACAGAGAGGGTAAATTAGTGGGCATGATTAACTGATTTACGCAAGAATAAATGGGGCATGTACTTCGGACCCACAACTTTCAAAGGTCCTTCAAACTCCAACTTATTCTATAATATTTAAAATGTGTAAAATTAAAATTTTTTTCACTTGCAGGTTTTTAAATTATTAAATTAGGAAAAAAGACGAAATTCTAAATTTTATATTTTATGTCATTCTTTAGAATTCTGACAGCGAACCGTTTTCTTTTGCAATCTAAAGCTTGATGTTGTTTAGAGGAATTTCGATTATTAGTACACTACTAATAAATTATAATGCTAATCGTTGCTATTGTATAATTGTCATACTGGAAGCCTATGATGTCAGATGATTAGGAAATTCTATGGATTATCATAGGTGTGCCATTTACTTGATTATTAAACCAATAAACATTTAAATTCATTATTTTAGTCTTATCTTCGTAATTTACTTAATGAAGGTTTGTAATACGATTGATAAAGATTCCCAAAGTTCTCCTAATTCCAGCACTTTCCCTTGAAAAAGTACCCTTCTTCAAAGCAGTATAAGCATAAAATAGAAATAATTTTAAACCATTAAAAAGGTACAGAAATGTGAAATGTCTTTTTAATTTAAAAACATTTCAATGATAAACTGTAAATTAGTACGTTATTTTACGAAATAAATTAAATAATTTGTATCAGTATTATCCACTACAGTGGAGCAATGACAGTAGAAGATACTCCTTTAAATGTTGTTTTCTTCCACGAGTCTTCAGTTTCTTAACTCCAGGCCTACAGCAAAACTGAAGATAACAAACACATAAAAGCAATTAAAATATTTATTTTTACTTCAACCTTGACATTTACAACTAAGGATATTAAAAATCACACTTCTGTTGCTCATTGCCCAAAAATACAATATTTGTTCGATATTTACAAATAAAAATGTTAAGCCATATCTAAGCAACACAGGCAGCTAACGGCAAGTGTTATTCCTCTTTGAATTAATATTTTAATTTACATGGGACGCTAACTGGACGCTTACTGATCGTTTTGGATGCCAAAAATGATACAGCCGGGCCTAATTAAAGGTTTAAGGAATGGCTTCCATTGCTAATGCGCCTTCTTACGTAACTTCAAGTAAAAATTTGCTCACCAATACAGCCGGATGAAAACAGGATTAGTGCATTCCGTCTCAAGGTTACCAAATCTCTCTCTCTAAATTTAGACTCTGGCTCAGTCTTTAAATTGATTGAATTGATTGCACTTAAGAAACAGCAGAAATACAGGAAAGCTTCAACATAAGAATTAATATATTAATTAAAATAATCTTACAATCTCAAGTATTTTTAGCAGTAGCTAAAAAGTAAATCATAGATCTGGTTTTTGATGTTAAAAAAAGTTAAGCCTGACAAATAGCGTTTGAACTAGTGTTTATTTGTTAAAAATATCATCAAAACTGCATCAAGGAGATTCCTAATTTATCATATACATTAAGAATTTAAGGCCATTTTATGGCTGCTAATTTTACTTTATTTGAATTTATATTTATGCAAAACTTATATTTACGCCATGTTTATATTTACGAAAAAGTTGAATTAATTTTTACTTTTTCCAAAAATATAAAATGGAACTTGAAATGCTCAGAAAATTTGCCGCCCAGATCAAAGTGTTTGGGATATACTTATTATCCTATGAAGGATCAGAATGCAAAAGAAACTAAGAATCAATCAAATTTCAATCAAGGGCTATTTTTATGTAATTTAAAGTCATCTATTTTGTGTGAAATTTCATGTTGAACCAACTCTTGCTGTGCCCTTCGCTTTAAATGTTGTAGGTGCCAACGGTTCTTGTAAATACTTAACTGTTTATTCTGCACTTAATGCTGCCAATCTCCTGCAAAGTATAACTATATTTATCATGCCTGTCTTTTGTGAATTCACGAAATGCATATTTACATAAAACATATATACTGTACATACACTTATACCTTCTGAGATTATTGTGAAAATAAAATATTTGTAAATATTGTGTAAAAGTGTTCATTGTTTGTGTCTTTTCGTTGTTTAACCACGATATATATATATATTCATTCGCAAAAGAGATGTTAGTTGTTTGTAAAAGATTTTTGCTACATATCTCATCGTAGTATGATCAGCATATCGTTGATGTCTTTTTACTATCCGTCATCTATTGTCCATTCACTAGTGTTTGCTACGATTTTTCGCTGTCCAGGTGCTCCATGCGCGGTTTGACCGTAGACTACCCTCGAATCTATTTAAACTTAAGCTGTCACATAGTTTATAAAGCATTAGGTTACTATTCTCAGTCACCGTCTTTCCATTTATACAAAATGCTACTTTACTGGAGGATTATAATCTAATTTCCTGTAATGACACTAGCCCGGGGGGGGAGGCTAAAATGAAAAATAATAATTTATGGAGAATTGAATTCGATACCCCCACCACGGTGATGAAACTGAAATTTGTTAACTCTATCTTAAATGTTTTTTAGTATGGTGTTTTATTTATTTCGAGTAATTTATCTAATCTCAGACTATTCCTGAATTTATCCATTTTAAAAAATAAAAAAATATTTTATAGTAATGAAAATATCACGTTATCAGTCTATAAGATATATCGTTTTTTGCAGCTTGAATTTAAATATCCTAACAATATATTAAACTTCTATGACAAAAAATACCTAAAGAATATTTCAATAAAAATTTATTTGAATTCGTACAATCACTAACATGAAAGAATTTTTGTTCGTTGCACTTTCGATAGACAACATCACTAACCGAAATGTATCAAAATTTCTCATATTTGGTATTATTTTTCACAAATATATAATGATTGTATTTAAGTTGTTTGAGTAATTCCCTTTCTCACATTTCAATAATTATTTTTACGGCCCTAAAAGTTTCTCAGTTATGTTGTTCGGGAAATCTAATTCCCCTTTTCATATTTCAATAAATATGTTTCAGTCCTAAAAATTTCTAAAATCCACGAAGCTAATAGTTTTTTTTTTTTTTTTTTTTTTTTTTTTTTAAGTAAGCTGTAAAAGTTATAAATTTTCTACATAGGAAATACAGTCTTATTCTTGTAATAGTCAGTACTTTTATTTAACTATTAAAACCGAATCTTGAAAAAATTAACAGTCTACTCTGTTTTAACCCCCCTCCTCCCCCCTCCAAAAAAACACATTCAGTCAGTAATGATACTGAGCAGTCAAACAAAACTTTTGTTACACAAAGTATGTTATGTCACAAAGTATGTTATGTCAAACAAACTATGTAAACTTATGTTTGAAATTTATATGTATAGTATTTTAAGTCTACCATTTAATTATAAAAAATTTGGATGTTTTGATGCAACTATTTTCCAGCTCATTTGTAATGATATCATAAATGGTTTTTGAAATATGTCAGAAAGTTTAAGAAGGGTGAATATAGCATACTGAATTATTTGATCAACAAGAGTTTGTACACGTGCTTCCTCTTCTGGCAGGAATTCAAAATTATTTGCCATAAAAGCTTTTATAATGTTGAAGATACTAAATTTAACAATCACAAATTTTATTTCAAGTATTGTAATTTATATTTTCGAGTGTTTATATCTCGACACGATTCATCTCCAGTTAGTAACTACCAATGTAAGACTTTCGAATTTACGTCTAGAGGACAGCTCGTGCCGACGTATCAAAGAAACCAACCGAATTATGAAAAGCTTCGATGATGCCATACATTTCTATATATTTTGTACAAAGTGTTAACCGATGCTTGTGTATCGAGAAATGATTTGTTGTCTATTCATTGTAGTACGAGCTTTTTGTCTCACGTGTATTGTTAGCCGTTTTCTCATTCATTCTCTGTGTTGTACAGTCAAATGATTATTTAAGCTTGTTCCTGTACGTTTTAGTCATCAAAGAGATCTATTGAAATATATATATATATATATTATATTTACTTGTGAAATTATTTGGTCTGATATATATTGCTTAAGTTATTTCAGATTTTGTTTTTTATATTCTTCAGTGATTCAACAGATGAAACAGTTAAATATGTGTAATTATATAAATATAGCTGTGTGTATACTTATAAATATTGGTTAAATGTTTTGGTAAGTTCATGTTGTTGTAACAGTTCTTAGTGAGTTACAAATTTCGGCAATATTAAAAAAGAAAACAGTTTTACAAATCTGTTAAATTATTATTTTTTTTTCGTCCTTCACACATCGGTGCGAGTTTGCATCTATTTGTACAATGTAATTTATATGTGTTTTTCGTAACAATCATTTTTCGGACAATATTTACTAAATATGAGCTTTTTACATTTCATTAATTATACAAGACATTCAGAATTACAGTGACCCGAAATTTAGGCAAATGTTTGATAAAAACCACTTCTCATTATTTACAGTGTTAGGACATTGTTCATTGTTTTTTCCAGTTTCTTAAATCTTTCAGGATAATGTATGTGCTACAGTTGAAAGAAAACGCCCAACTGGTTAATACTTTTAAACCTGTTAAGTAAAATTCCTACGTATCGGAACTAATTATACGTCACTAATTAACAAATTTATAAATATGCTTGAGGCCATACTAAACCTATGTGAAATATGTTGTAGAATCATTAGGTTATTTTGATGCTGGAGACGTGAAAAATGAGCAGTGTGCTCGCCGGACTCGAACAAATACTCGACTCGATCTCTCGAATACGCGCCGAGTGTGCTACCGTTACACCAGGAAGGCATACAGAAAGGAGGAAGAAAATATCTCATATATTTCCTTTTTAAAGGGCGACTGAGGATTAAGGTACCAACCTCCAAATCCTGGTAGTGAAAAATCACCATCCACCACCTTTTAGTTCGGGCGCCACTGCAGAGTCATTAGATTTTTTATTTTTTGAAAACGAGCAGTACCCTTGCCGGAACTTGAACCTGGACCTCTAGAATACGCGCCGAGTGTGCTAACCGTCACACCACAAAGGAGGGGGAAGAAAACACCTTATAATGTGACAAAAAGTACCTAGTGAGTTCTGTTCTATTTCAATATAATAAAATTCGCTATGAGCTGCGTAATTCAGTTGTTACAAGTTTTCAAAATGTTTCATGGAATGACGAATAATCCTGTTTACCACGGCTTCTAAAGTTCATTTTACTCTCATTCCTTATAATAAAGATAAAATTTGTTAAGAGCTACAACTTAGGTATGGTAAATCTTCGAAGATTTGTTAAAAATTAAAAAGCGTAAGACTTAAAAAATCTTACAAATATTCTACAGTGAATTATAAACACAGCGAACAAATATTCTACATCTTTAAGGAATGCTTATTATTCTTTGTAAAGATAAAATTCTGGTTAACTGATTAGTCTTACGAAATAAAAGTTTCAGACATTTCTGCCGTCTTTCGTTTTACGTACATCCAAATTCAAGAAACCTTGTTAATGTATCAAAATGAAATACTTTCCTTTCTCGCATTGCAGTTATTAGAGATTAAATCAGGTTAATTGCACAATACTGCTTTCTTAATCATCTCGGAGTAATTATGTGTTGCTAATTTGCTCGCTGCTTTATTTATCAGAATGGCAACACATTAAAAAAATTTAAATCCCCTAGAGGAGTATACTAAGCGTTAGAAATATAATCCCCATGAAGCAGATAATTTCCCTTCCGTTTAGAATTAACATAAACTTTGATAATCCAGAACTTAACACAGCTGTTAGTATAATAACAAAAATGAACGAAGCGTCGCTATTTTGCGAGAAAACGTCTCACACCCCAATCTTTCCTAAAGTTTTATAGCATTCAAAATCTGGCTTAATTTATGACTCTCTACTACGCATGGAGTTTGAAT